GGCAACCCGAGTGAGAAAAGTTGTTTCATCTGCAAACCAGCACAAAGAGGTGCCAAGCATCAGTCCTATGCTTGCTTAGAAGGAGGTAAATGCCATTGAACTCAATGGGACATACTATTGAGGACACATGTATAGTATTATGCTGGAAGCTTATCAGAGGAAATACGGATGAGGAAAGCTATGGGCCAGGGCAGAAAGTGCTGTCTTTGGTCATAGGTCCCGTGCTCTCAACTTTCAGGGCAGTACCTCCTCTTTGACACAAAACACTGTTCTGCCCACTAAATTGGTTTTCTGAAGCACTGAGAAAATATATTGCAGCTGTATAATAGTTCACATTATTGGCAAGTACCATACTGCTTAATGATAAATGAGCATTTTTTTTGCACCAGCAGGAGGGTGATAAATAGGACTAATACTGTAAAGGAAAATGTATTCTACAGATTGCAACGGAAATTAGGGAGATAATTAATGAATGTTACTCTCATTGCCTATCAGAATTAGTGCTGTTCTGGCCATTCATTTCTTAACAATTGGTTAAAATGTCAGCATTTCCCTCCTAAATGATAATTTTCGGGCTCTTATCCAGAATTCTAATCATATATATGTGAAGTCAGTGGCCTTGTTGAAAGGGATGCATGAGATACCTTGTTTACTGAATTTTCATTTCTCTTCAGTAGGTGTCTGTGCATTCTTGCCTATCCACTTGTGTGTGTTTAGCCAGAAAAAAGCTGCACAAGTCCCAGCATTTCCCAGTCAGCCAGAGGTGATTGGACCTTTTTCCCATGGAATGCCCAGAATTTTGCCCTAAGGGTGCAATCATATGGCCTCTCAACAGCATTTGGAAGGCCATGGGATTATTTGGAGTGCCCGCTTGGTGTTCCTGGCTGCCCACACTGCAAGGTCACAACACAGCCTTGGAGAGGGCAAAAAGAGGCATGACGTGCTGGAGGGGGCTGAGGCTGGAGCAGAGGTTTTCTCCGATTCCTGCTGGCACCACAGCCTCCTTCCCATGCTCTCCTTGGTGCTTCCAGCTGTCTAGATAAAATACGTGGCATGACGCATGGTGGGGACCGCCACTGCCACACCTATTCCATGCATGGGGTGCACATAAGCCTCCACGAGCAGAGTCTTATATGCAGTGAAGGTGTGAAGCTGTGGGTTGCACCCTAAGTAATCTAACAAATAAGATCTGGAGTATGTATTTCTTCCAATAGATGCAGATATGTGGAAAGAGCGGGAAGTCCGAATAAAAAAGGTATATTACAAGGCACTTTTCTTTCTACTGGTCCATGTGGATGTAGAATCAGCCTGTCGATTATACTATAAGCTTACAAGCCCAGCACATGTTTGGCAAAGCAGTAAGCGAAGGAACAGACTGTCAGAATTCCCGGCTGCTGTATAATAACTTTTCTTTCCTCTTTCCTCAAGAAAGGGCATACAGAAATGTCATCTCAGTTTGATTTCTGTTGTGCTCATCACTCACCTGTAGGTCAAGGCATCCTTTACATTCTACTCCCACATTAAAAATACAACATAATCCAGACCAAGTGTAATCACTTTTAAGCCCCATTTAGGATGGCTAGGAAACTACATTTGTGGAAATGTGTTTTGCAAGGTATTCCAAGTCCCACTTGTATCTGATATTCTGAGAGTCATGTTGAATTTCCTCACAGGAGAAGGAAAGTAAGTTATAAATTACGTTGAATTAAAACCATTAGAGAGTAGGCACTCCCAGATTCTGCCCCCCTTCCGCTTACTCCGTTAAATTGCAGTCTTGCTTTTTGACATTTTCCTATTCTTCAGCGAAGGTGAAAACGATTTTTTCTCCCTTTGATACTAGTGCTACGGAGTTAATATTGTATAGCTAAGTCCTTTACTGCCACCTTGAGGTCACAGCTGAGGTTGCACATTATACAATAGACATTCAAAACAGAGGAGAAACTTTTCAGCGTGAACCTGGGCTGCAAGACAATGAACAGTGATTTATAACATCGATTTGGTGACAGGTAAGGGAGCCGAAGACCCTCTTACTGAAATCCTTGCCATTCCTTCAGAATGAGCTTTGATAGTCAACTGATAAAAAGAGAACAGGAGAATTGGTAGCTGTTTCCACACCAAGTTAGACTGTCTAGTCCACTGCTCTTTTCTCTAAATAGTTCACAACCTTCCCATTCCATGACCTGATCCTTAGACTGAGTCAGTCCATGTATCTACCTAATCTAGCACTGGCATGGCTGTTCAGGATTTCACACAGAAGAGATTTCTGGAGATGCCAGAAATCGAAGCTCGGACCTTCTGCAGTATTACACCCACTGAGCTTCTACGTGGCTTGCCTTATTCTTTGTAAATAAGTCTTTTCAAAATTCTGAATAGCACTTGTGAGAGTATATGAATCCCATTACATAAGGCTAGACCTGTTATATTTTATTCTGTTCTATACACTTGCCTTTGTACCAGTTGTAAATGAAACTAACATCTGTTTGAGAGCAACTGAGCTTTGGTGATACCTTACCCTATCTTACCAAGCAGGTTTTACTTCTCAGCATTTTTTTTTTAAATTGAAAACTAGTTTTCCCAAAGTGTTGTTTTTTTCCATGCAGTGGGCAGGATCAAAGCAAAACATATTGAATGCCCAGAGTTGCATTTCATCTCTGGAGGGCAGCACCATCTGTCACACAAACGTCCTTTGAAATACAATTTCCCTTCATTTTGTACATCAATAAAGTGGCAGTGTTGATTCCTTCCCCATCATCTCATTTATTTTTTTTGGAAAGATACACTTACCTGACATAACAACAGAATTGTGCCATCGCCTGCTTCAGTATTTTAGAACTATGACTTAATTCACGTTTGCTGGAAGCTGTCTTATTCAAGTTTGTTAGGACACAGTCCTATACAGATCTCAAGTTCCAAACTCAGAGGATTATGGGCATCCTATGTAGGGTGGGTGGAACATAGAGGTGAAGGTCACCTCTGCACATCCCTCACTCTACAAAGCACTTAAATGTCCACTTTGGGCCATTTATATGCACCACTTTGGAGCAGGAGGAAAAGAGGCTGAAGGCCTGTCAGGATATGCTGTATTTTGGCAGCACGGTCTTTCTCCCCACCCTGCTCCTAGAACACCCTCTTCACTCCATCTCTAGGATCACTCTTAGACCTCCCAGAGGAAGCCGACATTGTTCTTTCCATGCTAGCTGTGGATGGGAATGAGATCCAGCACAGGACAGCAGCTATGAGGTCAGAGCAGTTTCCAACTTGGTACCTGGGAAGCCAAATAATTCAATAGCCATTCAGACAATTGTAGCAGCCACAGGATTGCACTGCCCATTATTCATTCTGCTATCCCATGTCAGATCCATTGCATACTTGTTCGCGAATGCTGTGGCTTCTTAGAGTGAGCTTTTTCATTCTTCTCACACTAATTAAGGGCAAAATGCTTCCTTCATGGGTTTGATGGGATAATTGGTAAATCCTACATGCTGCCTAGACTCTGAAATGTTAGTTTCATTTTGTTTATAGTAAATTAAAAACTATGTGGATTTTTAAAAAAGCCTTTGCATAAATCTTTGCCATGATGGGAGAATCACAGGATTTATCATTGCTCAAGACTGATCTCTAAACTTCATAAATAGATACAAAAGTCACACACTGTGAGGTCAATCTAGCCATTTCACTTCCATTAATACCAGGGGAATCAGGTGCTTGAACATCTATATGTTGATTAAAGGACACTTCACAAAGAGTACATTATGAAATGCAACACAAAATTTCATTTCACCACCAAGTGAGAAACCCATGGCTATAATCCCACATCCACCAAGGAATAAGTTTCACTGAACCCCATGAGACTTACTACTGATCTAGGGATCTGTGAGCAATCCATTTTATGCAGAAAAGATCTCAGATTTCCTCATTGCAGCAGTCCAGAGTCCAAGTTCCTGATAAGCAAAGCTTATCAGTGTTCATGGGACGCTTACCAGGAATCAAGCTCCAAGCAGCGCGATTTATCTGCGCCTGCCACCAGCAACAGAGAGTGGAGAAGAAGGTTGGCGCTCACTGCACCCATCTCTCACATCCTTTACCTGCTCCTGACAGGAAGGATTGCTGGTTATACAACTGGGGGTCCACAAGTGTTTGCTGACTTCCTCTTAGCTAGGCTTGCTTTGCAGGAGTGGGCCAAGCATGCGAAGTCTGCACATCCTGGAGGGGCAGATCCAAAAGGGCTCATCCCAACCCCATTCTGAGCACGTATATGCACTGGCCATCAAGTGTTTCCAGCAGCTTCTAAATTCATGCTTTCTTGAGTGACTGGAAGATATTATCACCATGTAGTTGCAGTGCTACTGTAAGCTTCAATATGTTTTATAAAAACTTAATTTTGAACACACCAAAAAAGGAAGTTTTCTTCTTTTTTCTCAACAGCATGGCTTGAAAAATACACATGAAAGGTGAAAAACACCAGTTTCTTGTCAATTTTGATGTTCCAAGCCTGTTGATATAAAGACTATAGTACAATATACTATGTAGTGCTACAGCACTCCTCCATCTTTACTTTCTATCCATCTTCTGCCTATCCTATGATATCCCTCTGGAAAACTGACTCAGATGATTTAAATAAAAGACAATGTTCCTTCACTAGAAAAATACATACAGGCCAGAAACCTATTTTAGTGTGTTCCGAAAAGTCTTTCACCAAGTAGTCATGGAAGAAGTGGTTTGGGTCCAATTTATTCAATCGATAATACTAGCGTCATTTCAAGCAAAGCTTGTCTGCTAAAGAGAAGCTTTGATAATCAAGCACTATGGCATATTTCCATCACAAGTAAGAACATTTTGTTAGACTGCAACTCAATACCAGCTCTGTGTGTTTTGAATTGAAGCAATTGTTCACTACAGAAATACCCAGACTACATTATGTCTCCATCTGAGAAATGAGACAGCAGGGCCACCATCCAGAAAACCATTATACAGGCATGGAAGAGATTCAACACACATGATTTAAGGAGAAGCTCTCTTTATTGGCACAGAAGTCCCCCTCCCTTGTTGCCATTTCCACAAGTAATATTGCACTGCCAACAGGTGGGGTTTTTTTGTAACAGCATAAGATGATAAGTCTTGCTTTCCACAGGCAAGCACTTCAACTCATCCCCACAAAATATTTACATTGCAGTATTATCATGCCGATCATTTAATATAAAAAGCATCCAGCCCAGTAATGGATAGTGTGGTATGAGTGAGCAAATAACAAGATATTATCTTGGCCAAAACAGATCTGCTAGGAGGTGCAGATCTTGTGGCATGGTAAGAGCTACAGTTTAAACACTGAACGCTTTTCCCCCTTACGAAAATCTAATGGTAAATTCACAGTTACTGTGAAGATCTTGAGTGGAGCCAAGATGAGAATGGCAGGTCTAGAAAGAGTGGCCTACTCTACTACAAGCACAGTATTCTTGGCATACATACACCCAAGTATATAAACCTCTCCTCCCATTTAGTACACACTTCCGCACAAAATTTTTGAAAGTGACAAATGACTGCTTGGGAGACTAGGATCAAAAATAGGGTTTCTTTAGGTTCTTCAGTAGATGTGCAGATATACACTGGGAGGGCTCGTGGATGAAGAGCTGGAAAAGGCACAGGCAGAGCAGGTAGGTGAAATTCCTGCTGGAGACACTGGAGAGTCACAGCTGTTCAGAGGAGACCAGACCAAGAGGAAAAGACGTTCCCCTTGGGATGAGAGTGCTTTCCATGCTCCTTCTGAAGCTCATCCCAGTGAAGACCTTGCATTTTACAGTCAGTTTATATTTTTCACCATCAATATATGTTGCAATATATGTTGATGTAGGGATACATGCCAGTATTTGGCAACAGGCCGGCTGTCATGAGCACCACAACCCACTGTGGTTTATTAAGTGGTTGGATTGTGGCACATGCCAGCAGACTTCTTGAATACTCACCCCCAGGAGACTAGGCTTTTGCCATGCCTTGACATCTTATCAAAACCCAGGTGGCGGCAGTTGCCTGAGGATGAAACAATGCTCAACCAAGCTGGCCTGTTGAAAGCTGTATAATCCTCAAGTAATCCCTACTGGTTGGGATCAGTGACCTGAGGAATCATGCCGCCACCAACCACCCCACCTATATGCCCAGGAATGGATATGCAAAATAGTCACAGACATTAACCAGAACCCATAATTCCAGCGTGGTGATGATGTGAAAATTAATGCCAAAGGAGATAACTCCCTTAGAAGGGGAAAAATCATATTCACTGCATATTGATATGCTGGTTCTCATTTATGAAATACTACAGGTTGAACAAGTTTCTTACACTGCAACCATGCATGTCTACTAGGAAGTAAGTGTCACAGAGTTTAAAGGACTCCATATATCTTCACAGCTACAAAGATGGGAGGAAGGACAGTTCTCTTGCCCAACAGAAGTCCCATTTTGGCAATCTCAGGAAGAGAGCAACAGGCAAGCAAGTTTGTATAGTCAATGAAATGTGATGTTTTCTAACAAGAACAGCCCCTCTTTCAGTGGGAAAAAGTACCTTTTACCAAAAAAGTTAACCCATGAAATTTCAGTTCCGGCACAATCACAACATACTGTTTTCATTACTTAATCCACGTAGGACAGCAGTTTCCTGAGATGCCAAATAAAAGCTTTTCTTTAGAGCAGAGGAGGACAAAAAGTAGATTTCCAGTGTTTTGGAGTTCAAGTCCCAGCATACCTGACCATTGCCTGAGCTAGCAAGGGATACTAGCAGATGGAAGATTCAAATCTGGATATCTATCTTTTGCTTATCCCTGTCTGAGACCATTTATACAATGCTAGGTGACGGACCACAAATGGTATGGACATTGTCTTAAGATAGGAAACCCATTATAATAGAAAATGCAAGACAACTAGGTGCTTTGAAAACACTACAGAATACTACTGTTGAACATGTCAGAGTAAATTTTGGAAGGAAATGCTAGCTACTTTAATGCACTGCTCAAAATAAGGCATTACGGCTATGATCTGTAGAAGTCAGGCTTTCTATAGAAAAATTGGACCAATTTGTCCTAGAATGCAAGAATACCTTTTGCTCTGGATTCTCCAATGAAGAAATAATTATGCCTTACATTATACACAATGCTTCCAAGAACTGATTTCTGTCTCATACTGATTAACAATCAGACTGTAGAAGCTCGTTGGCTACTAGCACAATATCCAGACAAATTTGGCTTTCACATGCTATCAACATTCTTCTGTAAAATAAACCCCCATAGATACATATACTTAAATAATTTTCCTACCAAACTTGCATTGTTAAAACACAGTGCAGTCAACTAGTTCCCCTTGGTAGCATGAAGTACATTTCAATATCATTCTACTCAATGTTTTTTCCCCCAATATATAAAATGTTTAACAGTCAGATGAAGTTTTAAAAATGGTGTATGTTTTCCAAGGCAGAAGTACAATGACAATTACATAAATAGAAAGGCAAGGAAAAAAATAAATATCTGTTTCAGTTTTAGAGAACTCCTGTAGTCTGTATTAATATTTGAACTCTCCTCATCTGGAAATAGGTTGACTTTAATATCCACGCTCTTGGGATTCTTAAAGCTAATTGCTGCAGCATAGCAACACAGAGGGAGACCAACCACTGTTACAAGCTAGTACTACAAGCAGTAACAAGGAGCTTTTTTTGATTACTAGGCAGTCCTTTAACTTATGTAGTCAGGAAAACAAACTTTCAGATAGTGTCTACTTCTTCTTCCAACCAAGATTAGTGCATTTTTAAAAGGTTAAAAAATACTTTTACATTTCAGCCGCACTTGATTCAAGTGTTGTTGTGGAGGTTTCAGAAGTCTGAAATTCAATATGTTGCCACCTGTGTAGCGAAGTGTACCACAATGGAATTTGTCCACAGGATAAATGTCACTTTCTATCCAGTAAAATTAGCTTACTCCAATTCGAGATGTCATCCATTCCAGGCCTTGACATAATCTGCAGGGTAGCAGGTAAGGAAAACCCAATAAATATTCATGTCATAAACCCATTAGTTACATGGCAAAGAACATTACCTATTTATCTTACCAATTTACAAAAAAACATAATTTTGAAATAAAGCTTTAAAAGCTAAATAAACTGAAACATATTGCTGAAAGGTTGTACTTGGTTAATTTTTGTTAAAGGTAACCATGTTTTTGCATATTGATAATAAGAAAACTTTATTTGGGGGGCTTTTCTGAAAGCCTTCTGGAAATATTTTGGAATATTTTTCTGAAAAGAGAGGAAAAAGAGAAGTGAAATATTTGTCCAAGGCAAATATTGGATGTAAGTCAGCATCCAATTTAATATGTGCATTTCCATCTATTCAACACGTTTTTAAAGTATGCCATGATGGTTCTATGTGCTGCATAGATTTCCTAATATTTTTTCCAGGAGACAATACAGCTGAAACAAAATATTTGATTAAGGGAGGAAAATAATAAAGCAAACTTCCAAGTTACTTGAATATTCTCCTCAATGCATTATTACAAAACAGCTTAGTAGAATATTTGCAATTATTTTAATGGGACAACTCAATAGTATATATATTTCCTTTTTTAAGAAAGTTCTGCAGGGGGGATGATGGCAATAAACCCCATAGTCAGGGACCATTTCTATTTTAAAGACTCTTGCTCATTACTAGAGCAGATGGTATTAACAACACAACCTAGAAATTAAGTAGCACTAACATAAGCAGGTTGTGTTTAGCATTGACAGAAAAACTAAGTCACCAATTTCTCTCTAGACGAACGTTTCATCTAATATTAATACCTACCCTTCTCCTGTTAGTGCACAACAGGACTGAATGTGCCATGGATGATCCTTTATGGAACTAAGGGTGAGGGACTTGGAAATTTCAGCTGCAGTCATGCAACCTTTCATATCTTGCTTGTTTGCAAAGATGAGAACTGCAGCTTTCCGCAAATCCTGTCAATGATGTATATTTAGCAAGTCTGTATCATTAGGGTCTTAGCAACAGTTAATTCATTCTCTCTCCCTCCCCGCCCCGCATACACCATCAATAATATAGTTGTTTACATTTATATATGGCTGTATTTACTGAAAAGAGTCCATTTCAGCTGTTAGAGAAAATAATTCTATTACCCCAAACATTGTCTGGGAGCCTATAGGATAGCTTGGATTCCCACAGTGTTCCAACTGTACAGCTGGGACTTGGAGCTCCAATTCCCCCCTCCTGCAGCCAGCAAGGAAAGACACTAACTGGCTGTGCTCTGAGGTTGAAAAATGACCTTGCACAAGGGTTGCAGAGGCATTTTGTGGAAGGGAGCAAAGAGGGGTATATGCCCGACCGCCCTTTGAGATCTGCGGGAGAGTCCCTTCTCCGGGAACCCTCCATGAAAGAAATTAGGAGAGTAAGTACTCGGAGGAGGGCTTTCTCTGGGGTGGCGCCCAACCTATGGAATTCACTCCCCAAAGAGGTCCGCCTGGCACCGTCGTTACTGGTTTTTCGGCGCCAGGTAAAGACCTTTTTATTTAAACATCATTTTAATTGTTAAAACATATGATCTGGCCAGGGCAACTTCTTCTTCCTTCTCTTTTCTCCTCCTATATTATTTATTTACCTATTTTATACTGATAATTTTAATTTTATATTATTATGTTTGTAACTCAGTGTATTTTTTGTATTTTTGTATTTAATGGTAATTTATTATGTTCTATTGTATTTCAATGTATTTTATTGTGTTGTAAGCCGCCCCAAGGCTTTGGCAAGGGGTGGCATAGAAATGTTATAAATAATAATAATAATAATAATAATAATAATAATAATAATAATAATATCCTGGAACTACTCTAGCTTCCTTCTCTCCCCATATGAAACATTGCTCTTGGCTGGCTGGAAATGTCCATCTAGAGAAAATGCATAGCCAAATTAATGAGTGAAGACAGTCTGTCAGTCTTCCCACTCTGCACTACAGGAGTGTAAGCCACTGAGTCCAGAAGCTCATATTCATCCTGATAGGAGTACATCCTAAATGTGTTTAGACTGTTGTAGCTCTAACTCTGCCAACTGCGTAAGCGTTGCATTTTAGTTCCCCTGTGCCCTCCCTTCTGAAGCATCAGTTTCCATCACCACCCTTTAACTCTTTTCAAGGTTAGAACATGAAAGACTACAATTTAACTAAGATTTGTGATCATAATTCATTTGAACATACATAGACATAGAAAACGCAAACAATCTTATGGCTACACTGTGTAAGTTCAGACAGAAAAAACTCCAATAGCTCCCGACCATACCCACCCAGCCATGCTCAGGAATGCTGGGAACTGTAGGACTTTTCTTCCTGTCTAAATATGCATAGGATTGTGCCCTGAAGCTGCTACTCTGCATGCAATTTACAAAATGAGATTGTTGCATGAGCAAAACACTTTCCAGTTGCATTTCCAGAAGATAGCTCCTCCATCCTAATTTCTGATGAAGGAGCATAATCCAATGTACCTCATGTGCCAACATTCTGTAGAGTTCTTCTCTGGTGAGGGTCAGTCTCTCTCGATCAATGCTGTCAACTACAAGGATAATAAACTGTGGAAAGGAGAAAGGTTGGACCAGGAGCTAAAAAGACATGTTTCTATGTCAGCAGGGTCAAGCAAAATGATACAATTTACATGTTAGTCTGTTGCAGCAAAAACAAAGCAGTTCAGCTAACTCAAGACTCTTTCTGGTGCCTTTATAAAATGTTCCCGTTAAACAAAATGCTTCTGCTTAACACTCCTGAAATCTTACTCTTTACTGAGGCAGTGGGGGAAGGAAATTTGGGGAAACAAAATCACAAGAGCAGCATCTACACACTGCCGCTTTCCACACAAGTACCTAGGGGGAATGCCTCCCTCCAGATCCCCACTATTCAAGTTTATTAGAAATCAGTATCAAGAGTACATTCTTATGGTGCAGCAAAAGGAGAGGTTGGTTTTCAAGACCTGTAAAAAGCTTTCAGAAGCTTCAGGACAATGCCTCTGCTTTTGCTTTCTCTTCATCAGTTTTTCCCTCTTAAGTACTCTGGCCACATTGGCCAAAGCAGCAATGTGGTTCCAGTTTATCCTTGAGAGAAGAGCCTACTGCAATTGTCAATACACATTTGTCAGTTCAGCCATGACCCCTTGAGCAATCTGGATTGGGGAGCACATCAACCTACCTCAGTATTTGAATAATAGGTATTCCAGGACGACCGTAAAGATTCCTGCCCTCCAATATCCCACATGAGGAAATGAGTGTTCTTTACTACAATTTCTTCAACGTTACTTCCTATAGTGGGAGAAGTGTGAACCACCTCATTCATTAGGCTATAGAAAAAGGAAAAGTGATATGTTTAGCAACATCTGGAAGGTAGCTACCATCAGTTCTATGCAGTGTTTTATAGAATTGCACCTGCCTTCTTGATTAAAATTAGAGCATCCAGTAAGCCCGTACAAGAAAGAACACTGTTTTTTAACTATTAAAAAGTTTTTGTCTGGTATTCACAAAGTTCTTCATATGATCACAGATACGGATTTTTAACTGTTCAAGAGAGTCCATATAAGCTGGAACACAAATACAATCAACTAAAAGCACCTGAAGACATCTAGCAACCTAAGATGTCATAAGAAACTTAGAGTTTTGCTTTTTATCCAGCATGGCTCTATCTAGTTGAGCATCCTGTTCATATACAGTGGCCAGTGAACTGCCTGTAAGAATGCCGTAAGTAGAATGAGAGGAAAATAGCACAGCTCTGCTCATGTTCCCTAGCAACTGGTACATGGAGACAAGCTGCTGATACTGGAGGTACTATATAGCCATCAAGACTAATAGCCATTGATAGTCTCACCCTCCATTAATTCCTATGATCCCCTATAAAGGTAAAGGTTTCCCCTTGACATTAAGTCCAGTCATGCCTGACTCTAGGGGGCGGTGCTCATCTCCGTTTCCTAGCTGAGGGAGCCATCATTTGTCTGCAGACAGACTCCGTGGTCATGTGGCCAGCATGACTAAACACCGAAGTGCACGGAATAAAGAGATCCAAATTGGTGGCCATCACTCTATCTTGTGATGGTGAATTCCTTAGTCCATTTAAGAAAGACACCAATGAAATTATGGAATCCTGTCCTAAGAACACAAGAGGAATCATGCTCAGACCAATTGACCATAGTCCTGCATTTTGTTCACACAGTGGCAAAACAGCTCTCCACAGGATTTCACAAGCAGGATATGAGTGTGACTGCACCTTCCTGCCCAAGTTCCCCAACAACTGGTGAATATCGGCACACTGCTGCTGATACTGGAGGTAGCAAGTACCCATCAAAACTAATAGCCACTAATAGCCTTCCCTTCCACAAATTTTCCTATCCTCTTTTAAATCCATCCAAATTGGTGTCCATCACTGCATCAATATGGATGGTTTTAAAAGAGGATTGGACATTAACTTATCACATATCCCTTAAATTAGATAATCTAACACATTACAAATGTGACAGATTTAGAACCATTCAAAACAAACAAGTACTGTTCCACCAAATTAATCCTTCTAGTTTGTGTTTCTTTGTCTTGTAGAAAGCAAGTTCTTCAATCAATTTCCTGCCTATAACTTACACATACAGCTTCTGACAGTTATAAATGCCACTGCAACACACTGAAGTAATCCTCTCAAGGAATATTGTGTGTGTCAGCATTATACCCGAAGCAAGTAGGTAATGCAGGATACTATCAATGATTTGCTCATAAATACACAGGACTAGAGGAAGTATGAAGAAAACTTCAACTGAAAGCTTTCTTTCATATGGTCAAGTCTGAAAACACAATTTCAAACTTTCAGGCTATGAGAATACTGAAAAATTGACTCTAGGGAATTAAAAATATGCTCCAGTTCTTGACAGATTGTCCTTATTCTCCTTTTATTTGTAAATCCTGTCCCATGCATTCCATTATAATGAGCTTTAAAGCCTAATGAATAAGGGTTAAAATACTTACAACTGGTACAGAATGGTTGTCTTTCCAGCATTGTCAAGTCCCACAATTATCACTTTGTGCTCTACAATATATAAAGGTGAACAATTGTGAGCCATAGTAAATGTGCACTTATTAGTAACCTGCAAATCCAATATTTTTTTTTTCTTAGTGGAGTAGCTGAACCAACAGAGAAATATCCAAACTTTCCCCTTAAACTATTGGATAAGACAGCTCATCTAACCCATTTCCTCTCCAAAGTTTTTCTAGTCCACCATAAACTCCTTGCTACTTCTAATTTTCTGAGAATGTCCTTGCCCCAAAGGCTAGAAGAAACATTCAGTCTACAAAAAGAGAACAGGGATACATTTTAAAGCTGCTATTAAGCTATTTCCCAACGTTAACAAAGCAAAACCTAATTCCTTTGAAGCATATCTGCTTACTATCAACAAGACAAACAGACTGTGGGGCCCAGCTCCTTGAAATTTCACCTAACTTCATGTCAGAGGGCTCATGTCAGGGGCTCTCAATCAGTTTAAAATCCTCCCTTGCTCAAACTCTTTCAAACTATTATCAATGCAATACATCAACCAATCACTACCATCAATCCTTCCATTTCACCTTTCCCAGAACACAACTAGAATTTTCACTACCTTGAAACTTTTGCACAATGAAAAATATTAGATTTGCCAATACATCGGGGCTTAGCCTCACATTAGATGTACATATGGAGGTTGCTGAATCCTTCTATGTGCAGGAAAATCCAAGCAACAGCTCTTATGTGAGAAAACAACTAATGCAACAGAATTCCTACACAAATGTCATTAAGCTGGTGCAGATGAGTTTATCCATAAAGTCCAACATGTGAATGAGTCTGGTTTGAAAGTTGCTACATGGAGCAGTTGCCACGTGGAAGTATCTTTGAAGTATTTAACTCAGGAACCTAACATGAGAATCATCACTAAGATATTCATCGAAATGGTATCTGCTTAGATGAATACTTTGTGCAGTAATTTCAAGATAATGGAATTTACTGCACATGTGTCATAAAAAGTTTAATTTCATTAAAAGGAATTCACTAATTTTTCATTCATAGCTATGCATGGCAATTCCCCCAATCCCCTAACTGTACAAGAAAGTATAAGGGCAGTACAGAAATTAAGTGATACAACTGAGGCTCACATCAGAACAGCTGAAGGCTTCACTGGTATACTGATCTGGATTAGAGGAATTAGACTAAAGGAAAATGAAAGGACCCCTTCAAGGCAGGTACTATGTTGCCTTGCTTGCTATGTTTTGAAATAGATACATACAGCAACATGCAGTAATTTATGGAAAATACTGTCATATTTGTTTTGCAAACATTCTTTTTAAAATCCAAAAAAATCATGTTGGGGCTACAAATTTGACTGAAGAGCAAAAAAACACTGATTTGTTAAACAAATCTGTGCAAAATGCAGAATGTTTGTGTTCAGAATATTTTTCCAAATGCAGCACATATACATATACATAACACTCGTTCTACTAATTGCAAGCAGATATTAGATACACACAGATGCTAAGAAAAAGAATAGTGTTTCCAAATTAGGTATGAAAACATTTCAACAAGATCCCAGTATTTCCTGTAAACCATTTTATTCCAAGCAGAGTAATTTCCTCAGTTTGAACCCGCCCACTCACTGCAGCCTTCGGATCCCCTCTGAGTAACAGGTCCATTGCAAGTTTAACTTAGAAAAGTTGTGGGCAAGCAGCAGCCCTTAATCCCAGGCTAAAGGACTTCCGAATCTTCCTACATTTCATTCTTCTCATTTTTTACTCCTTCCCATCCTCTTACACTTTCAGCAGGCTCACAATCAGCCCTAGCTCCGTTTGTTAAACACCTCTAACAAAGAGCCTCAAAGTCCCACCAGCAGCAAGCGACCTTGCTTGCCCTAATACACCAATTTAACTCCCTCAACTTTTAACCGTCTCTACCTCTCTCCTCCCCTGCTGTAGCCCCTGAGGGACTCCACCACCCATCATCAAAAAAACGACTCACCACACACACAAAAACCACTCCTGCCAGCCTAGGGATCCTTCAGCTACAGAACTTTTCGGGAAAACCAGTTGCTCGCTAGTCTCTTTCAGCCTAGCCTACCTCACAGGGGTGGCGAACCATGCCATAGCCTCCTCTTAAAGAAGGAAACCGTAATGAATGACTACGGACAGATAAGTACTACACCTGCCCAGCCTTTCGACTCAGCACGAGCCCTGCTTGTGCCCTCTTCTTTTCGTAGGAGCCGAGCAGTACCTTCCATCCCCGATTCTTCCTCCATCCACCAGATTCACCATCCCTTCCGCCAGCAACCCGAGCGAAGCCCCCAACGGATCCTTCCCACACAAACGGCTGAGCAGTCCTCACCGACCAGCGGGAGACGGACAGTGGCGGCAGCGCTACCACCACCACGACAACCGCAGCGCTGCCTCCGTCCTTCCCCTTCCACTTACCCTGGTTACAGAAGAAACTCCACAGCTTGGCAAATATGAGACCCATCCCGAACCGAGCAGCAGCGAAACCCCGACTACCGCTCCTTCTTTCTCTGCTTTCTTACCCACCGCGGCGGACGAAGTGGGCGGAACCGAAACCGGCCCGACTCCACCTCCGGCAGCGACCGCCGCTTTCAGCCACACAGGCAGCGAGCAGGGCCCTGCCCATCCTTCCTTCCGCCCTTCCTCTCCAGGCACCTCACGTCACGACGTCCGGCGTATGAGGGAGGCACGTTCCGTGACGAACCCTGACGCAACGGGGTGACGCAAGGCCGAAACCCCAAATGGGCGTGTCCCTTTCTATTAGAGACGGAAAAGTTACGCGAAGGTCTCGCTTCCGGTTTCTACAGGGGGCGCCGCCATATGCGGGGCAGGTACATGGAGCTGTAGACGGCGAGAAGCTTTTCTCGGACGGAAGTGTTGTGTTTGCATTGAAAACTGCGACCCCTTGCCCACGCTGAGTGTGGGAAACAAATAAAGGCCTGAATGGTAGGGTCTTTTTTTTCTCTTGCCAAGAGTGACTGAGGGTGTGCAGTAGTCAAAGAGCATTTTCCTTTTTAGATGACACCATTCCGCCGCAGTCTCCTGGACAATAAGTTTCTCCCATTCAATAAGATGATAGTAATAATAGTAGTGTTTCACAATGAGTGCAATTCTCATCAGGGTTTTCCCTAAAGTTGGTTATCCATTCAAACTTTTAATGCAAAGTATGTAGGAGTATCACACTAAAGATGCCAAAGGTACCCCCACCCCTGGGTGGGGATAGTGCGAATTGCTCTCCCACACATCTGGACGGCTCTAGGTTTGTGAAGACTGTACAAAAATGTCACAACATTTGGAACGATTTACTGGATTCTCCAGAATTTTTCTTGAGACTGAATGAAGTCTGAAGAGTTCTGAAGGGCTGGAAAACATACTCCAAATTCTGTGACATTTATAATTAAGGTGTGATTCTGTGCAGCAGAGGTGGCAAAACACATCCCTTCCTGGGCAGCCTTGTCTTGCTGAAAACCTGGCAGGAGAATATGGCACTGGGTTGGCTGAAGCTCGAGGTGGCAGTAGCTACTCCAGGCTCACACCCATTTTCAGAGATAACACACCCAGCCAAGTTGATCATAGAAGGACCCAAGTTCACTCAGGAGGGAGGACTGGGAAAACTTTTCCCTGACCTCCCCCCACCCCCAGCCATTGCTGCCACGCAATGGGTTCAACATTGGGCTAGCTGAATAGAGAGCAGCTGACTCAATGTAGGGCAGCTTTCTCTGTTCCAGGCATGGAGCTGGGGAGGCTGCCACCTTGTCTTCTGCCTGTGGGCTTGTGCCACCACCAGTGTATCTTTAGCAAAAGGTGGCCTTCCTGAGTCAATGAATGAGTGCTGACGTTAACCAGCAATGTGAGAGAAGCGCATTGCCACAGGACCAGCTGCGTTATCCGGAAGGCAAGGGATTGCTCGGGCCAGCGAGTACCTCTGAGCACTGCAAGAGCGCGTTTCCTTTCCCCATTAAAAACACTGTAAAAAGAGAAGGGCTACTTTCATCTCTTTTTACACCGGCCAGGCATCCCGACGTGCGGCTCTGCTGCAAGATTCCGAGAAGGCAGTCGGGGCGGGCAGGGAAGCGTGGCCGCGCTGTGCTCTTAGCGACAGGAGGGAGTGCTGCCTTCCGCTCGCGAACGCGGCTCTGCCTTCACAGTGGCTCTTGCGGTGTGAAGAAAATTATAACTGCAATCGTAGTAATTCCAAAGGCGGGTGGCCGCCGACAGCTCCGCCCCCCGCCCTCGCCGAGGCCCATGCAGAGAAGACTCAGGCCGCTGTCCTAGGGACACTTCCTCGGGCTTCAGCGCCGTTGGCCGCCATGCGACTTTCTCCCGAGTAAACGCACAGCTGCTGGCCGCCGCGCATGCTCTGCTGGGCCTCCCCAAAGCTCGGGAAAGGCGAGGGAAGCCTGGCGCGGCGGGGCGGGGCGAGCTTCGCTGCGGGAGCGGGAGGAAGCCGACTGACTGGCCGGCGGGCCTGTGGCGCGAGGTAGGCCCGGGCAGGGCACCGGCTGGCGCCGGGCAGGGGACGGGCGGCTCGAGGGAGGGCGAGGGCCATTGGCTGGACATCGCCGCGGGGAACGGAGCCAGGCTCTCTCCGGGAGCCCTGGCCATCCGCGCCCGGCAGCAGATGGCGCCCCGCTTGAGGTAATCAGAGGCCGTGTCGCTTTTTCGCCTCTCGACGTGCCTGAAGCGGTGGGAGAGCCGCTTCAAGAGCGGGCAGCGCCGTTTATTTCCCTCGGTTGGGAAGAGGTATGAAGAGACCGGAGGCTGCGTTGTGACCACTTGTATGTAACTTACTACAGAGGCCTCTTTGTTTTAATTCGGACTATAATGTCAGGCCGTTCTCAAAGCAAAGCAAAACTTCCCTTCCTTTCTGATCGTGGAGCAGTCCCAAAATTCAGTCTTCTCTTCTTCCCTCCCCGGTCCTACTTGAACTCACAGACAGGCAGTGGGATATTGAGGATAAGTGTCATCAGGAGCTGCGGATAGGATTTACAAACCTCAGAGTTCATAGAGTGCTGTAAAAGAGCTACAGCTGGATCCCAGAGAGGGGAAATAGTGGCTCAAGACAGACATTTGTCACTTATATACAGTTAATGTACATGCATAAGTACTGCCGCTTGAGGCTATGAGGTACAAATCTGGAAGCCACAATAAGTATGCAGCTTAATGAAGAAGAAGATAGAAGCCTATCAGCCTTTATTTTTTTTCCTGAACGGACAGGGCCTTTCTTAATGCTCAAAATTTACTACTATGGAGAAAAGTTACCATTTTAAGTTTGCACAGGATGCAGAGATGTAAAGATGCATAGGGAGGTGCTGTTACCTGCAGGCCTAATTATATAACAAGGAGATAAGTGACTTTCTAAAATTTCTGTTATGATCACAATCAACTTTGTGGCATAGCATGTAACTTTTTCTTACCGGTTTGCAATGTTGAGATACTGAGCTATCATGGAAAATTTTTAGTTTGAAGGTTGTGTCTGCCACAAACTCACTAACAGACCTTATGTGAACCATTCACTCAGTTCTTTCCATCTGCAGTGGATGAGAACATTTATAGGACAGTTGTGTAGCTCAGTGGTTTTCAACCACTGCCGGTCCACGGGAGATTTCCTGTTGGTCCACGGCAAGGGGGGCTGCATCCCACTCTCTGCAGACCAACATGGGGGCTGGCTGTGCTCCACCTCTTCTTTGGTTGGCATCATGTTCGTGGGGGGGGGGGAAGGGGGGGGGGGCGCCTGGGGGGGGGGACAGGGAGGGGAGAGACGGCTCGGTGGGAGCCGGCTGGGAGCAGTGCTGTGCCAATTTCAGAATTTTGTTCATTTGTTGGCATTTTTTGTTGCTTGGTTTCTGGTTGTTTTGGAGAATTTTCAGTTTTTTGGTTTTGTGTTTGGAAACTGAAAAGTGTATTAAATGTATGGTGCTTTTTGTTTCTGCCTCAGTGGTCCCCAAGGTAGTTTTCCTGTTTTCGCTGGTTCCCAGCTGTGGAAAAGTTGAAAAGCACTAGTCTAGCTCACAGCTAGATAATGCAGGACAACACCTTGAGCATTTGAAAGTGCTAAATACACTGGTCTACAAATTTTGGGAAATTATCGACCTCTAAGATAAAATGTACATATACTTTGATTAGATGAATTAGAAAGCAGGTGATAAAGGTGCTGGTTGGCTATTGTTTTCAAGATATTTCACAATAAATATTTATACACAGTCGAGCATATTTGCCTACAAGGAAGGGAGGTGCCTGATGAACATGATGCCTTGTAACTTCTCAACAAAGTATGGTAGAACAGTGAAAATGGTACCACATGGAAGTGTATAAATTTATCTTAACTTTGAGACTAAAGATTATTACCTAACTGTAATTTATTGTTCTTTTATTGCAAGGTACATTTGTCTTGGTCAGATCTACGCATCATACAGTTACATCTGGTGGCTTGTGAAAGTGTCATTGCCTAAACATTTCCAAGGAACAGTTGTGTGATATTTTCCCTCAGAAGCCAAGATGCCTCGAAACTGTGTAAACAATGCAGATAACTTCTGCTACATTTGTGGTGAGGTTACATTTGCATCTCAAAAGTGCAGTATGACGGCAGTGGTAAAAAAGGCATACCTATATTTTGGGTGCAAAATAGGGGATCAGGACAAGAGTTGGGCCCCACATTATTGTTGCATTACATGTGCAACTTATCTGCGTCTTTGGCTAAACAAGAAGAAAAAGTTCATGCCCTTTGCAGTCCCAATGATGTGGAGAGAACCCACCAATCATAGTAGTGACTGCTATTTTTGCATGGTTCCCCCAATTGCAAAAGGAATCTCAAGAAAGAAGAAGTGGACCGTGGAATATCCAAACATTCCATCCGCACTGCGTCCTGTACCCCATGGTGAGAACGTGCCAATTCCAGTTCCACCAGAATCCTGCTCTCTAGACTCAGATGATAAGGGTGATGAGCAGGATGCAGCTGATTCAGGGCCATTGATGTCGGCGGACCCCAACTTTAGCCCACCGTATGCTCCTCCTGAACCACATCTAATTTCACATAGTGAACTAAATGAGCTGGTCAGGGATTTGGAATTACCTAAGAGTAAGGCAGAGCTACTGGGCTCCAGATTACAACAGTGGAACCTCTTGCAGAGTGATGTCAGGGACTCCATTTTCTATGATCCCCCAAAAGATCTGGTCAGCATTTCTTAGTGGAAGGTGATTTGGTTTATTGCAATGATATTGGCTTAATGACAGCCCTTAACATTACCAACAATCCAGATGAATGGAGATTGTTCATAGATTCATCTAAAATGAGTCTAAAAGCTGTTTTATTACACAATGGCAATGTTTTGCTATCTGTTCCTGTTAGGCATGCAGTCCACATGAAAGAAACATATGAAAACATAAAACAGCTGCTGAGGTATATAAAGTATGAGGGACACCAGTGGCAGCTCTGTGATGATTTGAAAATTGTTGCCCTGTTGCTTGGCCTGCAGGGTGGATACACAAAGTACTGCTGTTTCCTCTGTGACTGGGACAATTGAGCCAGAGATTCTCATTATGTCAGGCAAGACTGGCCATCACGACGGTCCTGGGAGCCAGGAAAGAAAAATGTTCAAAATCCAGCTCTTGTTGACTCTCAGAAAATTTTGTTACCACCGTTGCATATAAAGCTGGGACTGATGAACTTTGTAAAGGCTATGCACAAAACAAAACAAGGTTTCCAATAGCTCTGTGAAAAGTTTCCAAGACTAAGTGGAGTCAAAATCAGTGAAGGCGTCTTTGTTGGTCCACAGATTCGAGAACTTCTCCGAGATTACAAGTTTGATCGTCTGTTGTGTGGCAAGAAAAGGAAGGCATGGGAAGCCAAGTCCATGGCAATAGAGTTTCTCTGGAACAGCAAGGCAGATGACTATGAAAAACACATGGAAAATTTGCTTAGGTCCTATAAAGCACTTGGTGCAAACATGTCACTGAAAATTCACTTCTTACAGTCGCATTTATACTATTTTCCTTTGAACTGTGGGGCAGTGAGTGGTGAACATGGGGAGAGATTCCACCAGGATATCACAGGTATGGAGAAAAGCTATCAAGGGAAATTTAGTCTGTCCATGCTTGCCAATTACTGCTGGAATCTCTCCAGGGATGATCCTATTGCAGTTCACAAGAGAAAAGCCAAAAAGCGCAGTTTAGATACCGAATAAAGATGGAACCTTGTTGTTTAATCTGATGTTAGAGCTTACCAGTTTTTCATGAAAAACCAATAAATGAATGGAAAGTATCAATAAAAATATAAATTTATAATGATTGGTGTGGTACCATTCTCATTGCTATATCACATTTTGCAGAAATGTTATGGAGCATAATTGCACATCCCTCTCGTAATTTTGAACTATTTTGATGCAGCTTTGACCTGAAGCTGTATCTTGGAAACTGAAGCCAATTAATCTCAGGACTTAATTTTCCTTTATTAGTGACCCAATTCTGGTAAAACTTAGCTACTTTCATTTCCAAGGCTTTCTCCTTGTAGACCAGTGATACAAGAAGAGCCTTGCTGGATCAGATCAAAGGTCCATCCAGTCCAGCATCCTGTTTTCCACAGTAGCCAACCAGACATTTCTCAGAAAACAAGCTAAAATATGAAATCAATAACGCACTTTAACTAGTGCTCCCCACAACTGGTATTCAGACAGATATTGCCTCTGTGCCTGAAGACTGCATATAGTTAATATCACACTGATAGGACCAATCCATGGAGAATAAATTGAATTCCCTTGGCAATGGACCAATATCTCTTTCAGCTCTAGGGCTGAAATGCATTTCATAGACATTTTTGAGGCATACATTCCTGTGGTGGGTGGCTATAGGCAAGAAGAGTGGGACTCACTCTCTGTCTCTCTATACACACACACACACACACACATATACATGCGTGCGTGCGCACACACACACCTCTCTCTCTCTCTCTCTCTCTCTGGACCATAAATACCAGTATGCAGTAACTTGAAGCTCTTACGTCCAATTCCTAACCTTAGTGGAGGCACTTTGATTTATTAAATGAAGAACAAACTGCACACACAAGAGTGGAAACTCATTCAAACAGTCAATGGTTGTGGAATAGGGTGGAGTCAAAGAGAGCAGTGTATTTAGAGCAGCAGGAAGACTGGATTGGGACTTCAGGCAGGTCAGATTTGACCCTCAGGCCTGAGGTTACCCACCTGTGGTTTAAATAATCACACTATTTGGGAATAGCGGTAACTTGATGAATGTTAAAACTAATAAGATCAATTTACACTTTTTCTTAAAACATTTAATTGGGCTTTATTATATATCCATATTCAATGGCAGTGAAGAAGGAAAAAATGTGCTCCGTAAGCACATCTTGTTTGGTTATGCATGCTACATGAGAAAACTATTTGAAGAAACTATTTGTATTGTTTATTACAAATGTTTTCTAGAAAAAAGAGATGACAATATAGACTATGGCTATTTTCCCCAAAATCTTACTGAGGCCAGAGGTTGAAGAGTATCTGAAGGCAACATTTCAAAATGATGAGGTAAAGTACAGCACACATTGATTAATTAAAAACTCAATACAAAATACAAACTTTCAGTTTAAGATTATGATTGTTAGACTGCAGGGCTATACAATTTACATGGGAGTAAGCCTGACTGAAATCAGTGTGCTTGCGTGTAATGTAGTGTAGTGAATTGTGCAAAGTACTTTTTCTGGTGCGGCATAATACATTAGTGCCAGCTAAAGAAGCTCCCATGATAGTAGGTTCTGTTGTTTTATTTCTCAAAATATGAGACATATTTTCCTTCATTGTTTCTTTAAGTTACCATTTTTCATGCTGTTTTGGAAAAAGGAATTTAAAATTTATCTACAGAAACTCATGGCTGGTAAAAACTTGATAAAATTGATATTCAATACAAAATATGGAAATTTAAAATATACCACTCAAATTGATATAATATTGATAACATGCTGCTTAATCCCCAGGCATTAATTACTTGCCCAGTTTGACTGTAACTCATCAGTTTAATAAGACTTCCATTTAGTCTGAATTACAGCCAACTCAAAGCATATTTACTTACATTTTGGTAAGTATGCATGGTTGATACTTGATTTTTGTATGAGGGAATGCTTAGATTTATACCGATTTTACTCTATTTGAGTCTTCTGGTTTAACTGGTTTGTAACAATATTCTATTTCTGGAATTATAGCATACTAATACTGCTTATCTAATATATTATGTTTCTTTGCTTTTAAGCTCATAACTGCGTTGGGTCCATTAGAAGCTGAACAGAAATTTGAATCTCTGTTAAATAATTTATCTCATCCACCAGTTTTCACAACTGTTCGAGTGAACACTCACTTGGCATCTGTGGAACATGTAAGAAACTTGCTTTCTGCAGAGATCCACAAGGTATGTGCAATATCACTTCCCTGGTTGTCCATCTGTCAATTAGTTAAGCCATTAACCGAGCAAGTCTATTCATCTATACTCAGAAATCTTTTAGTTAAATGGGATTTCCTCCAAGTAAGTGTGCATAGAATCTACTCAATGGGATCTACTTCTAGCTATACATGGATAGGATTACACTGTAAATCAAATGTGATGCAACTATAATACTATTTATAATTAGAATGGTGAAATATTCTACTATTGAAATATTACATTATTACAAAATAAGCAATAAGTATATTGCACATAATTTTCCTATAAAATACCTGAAAGTACTACTTTTTGTAGCATCATGGGAAGAGTGGAGTAAATTTTTGTAGGAGGAGATTAAGTAATAATACAGTGCTGCAGGCAAAGCCAGTTATAACCAAATGAGTCATCCCTTAATTCTGAAATGAAGTTTATCTTTGGCTTATCATTACAAGTTTTCTTAATTCATTAGAATTATGGCTTTGTTGCAGAGTCTCTAATATATTCTGGACATAAACACGTCTGTTAACCAAAATATTAATGAAAATCAATACCATAGTTTTAATGCTGTTGAAAACTATACATTTTTAGAAGTCTATGAATAATTTATTTTTTTTTTCAAACTTACAGCAATATGCAAGTCTTAGCGTTCCAGTTCTTCAGCATCCACAGCTTCCTGACATCTTACTTATTCCTGTTATTGGGCCCCGGTTAGTGTTCTTTTAGAATTGAGTGTACTAGAATTTATATTTTATGTTGAATAGCAATTATGGCTTGTAGACTAGTCCTGAGTTTCAAAAACACATAGGATACACTGGAGAAAGTACTCGGAATATATCCGTAAGCCATTGTAAAATAGAGATGGTTCATGTTAATGTTAAACCAAGGTGTTGTGGCAAGCCTTGGATTTGCCTGCTCTCCCTCATCCTCTGGCATGTTCATGAAGAGCTGAAAGAGTTCACTTCTGTTGAATAATTCATAACTTACGTTGTTCAAACCCAGCAATGGTGAATAAATGTAACTATGTTTTATTCAAACCAGTCAACTTCATACCATGGTTTACAAGTTGACTTATTTGAATATATGGTAGTTAATTTAGGGTTCAGAATCTTCTGGTCTCTCTGAAGCTGCAATGGAGAAGGTAGAGGGGAGGGTGGAAACACCATACAGCATTATGGATAAATTGTCAGTGTATGAACTTTTATTGCTCCTATGGGTCAACAATGGAATAACAATTCTAACTATTAAATATTGTCTAGCTCTAATGATCTTAGAAGATAATTAGTTTGTCATAAGGAAAGAAAAGATATGTGATTATCTTCCATTATCAATACAGTTGAGCTCTGTAGGAGTAGGGTGTCTCTTACAGGCACCTCATTTTTAAAATTCACTTTTACATTTAAAATGTATTTGATTTCAAATGTATAGATTTGTGCATAGCTATTACAGAAGTGCACTCTGTTTGCTTGGAAAAAGTAATGGCCTCAAGGATAATACAAAGGAAAGAAATGGGATAAAAACTGGTGTGATGGAGAAGTAATAAGTATGGTGGGAGACGTGGAGGCAGCTGAGAACAAGAACAAGGGTTACATTCATTTTTTGTGTTTTCAGACATTCTTTAATTAAACCCCATTTTTCTCCCTCAGAAAAGATCTACAAAAAGTGACAAATCAAGTTATTGTTGGTGCACAATGTGGTAATGCAGTGCTTCGAGGGGCACACGTCTATGTACCTGGAATTATATCTGCTTCAAAATGTAGGTTTTCCCCTTACCTTCTGCTAGAAGCAATTAAAATATACTTTGCAGCTGATAGTTGTTAATCCTTTTAAGTAAAGCTACATCAATTTTTTTGAGTCTCATCAAATAAGCTCCTATCATACTGTTTTCATGTCTTTTTTGAAGTGTGGTTTTTCCCATGGCTTTTCTCAGCTACCCAACCAGAGTTTTACCCTACTCCAGTTCTAGTCTAGATCTAGTCATCTACCCCATATTTTGGACCCTTTTAATAATTTGGCTCTTAACATTTCTTGTAGATTAGACTACAGGTAGTCCACAGCTTATGAATGTCCAAGTTTTTTTAAAAAAACCCATACTTGCCCATTACAGTAAAACCCCCATATCCACTGTTTCTGCTGCTCTACTTAACCACGGTTGACCATGGTCAATATTCAGCTCTCCAAATTCATGGGAGTTAGGGGCACCCTCCATGAAAGTGGAAATACTGCAAATATCTCCAGCCCCTCCCTACAAACTCATCAGTTTGACCGCAAACTCATGAATAATCCAATTTGCAAAAATTAAACCTGTGAAGTTGAGTTTGCCATCAATAATTAAATGGGGATATTTTTGGAGTTTGACTGCCCACTGCAGAAAATTGTAATCACCATAGAAAGAGAGAGGAAGTGAAAGGGCAGGGGGAGAGGCATGCCTTCTTGCCCAGCCCTTTCGGAGAGGGTGATCTGTCCAGCATTTCCTTGCTGCAAAGACGAGGCATTGGGGAGTTGGGCTGGGGGACTAGAGATATTCGCAGTTTTTCCACTTTCACAGGGGTCCTGCATCCTACTGTAGGGTATTGTGTTTAAGATGTTTTAATGTATACAGAAGTGTTTCTTAAGGGTTTTATATGCATAGAAAGGTAAAATATATATGTATACTAAGAAAAGTGTATGGCTTACTCATGCTAAATACTACTCATATATACAGGGTCTGACTTACATACAAATTTGACTTAAAGATGTTCTCAGGAACAGAAGTTGCTTGTAACCAGGGACTGCCTGTATATCGTTTAAACACTGACTGTATCTTTTTGAAAGTCAGGGAAAAAACTGTCAGAGGAACATCTGGAATAGTCACTATTGAAGTTGTTCCAGAATGTCTTGACCTGAATTGATTCTTGTGGATACATGGGGATCAAGTACATGCCCTAGCTGAAATCCCCAGTGACTAGATCAGTGTTCCTGTGCCAAAGAAAATATAATCTTTAATGTACTTTCTTTTTTACCCTAGTCATGAAAGCTGGTGATGTGGTTTCAGTGTACTCTGATATTGAAGGAAAATGTAAAAGAGGAGCCAAAGAATTTCTGGGGACAAAAGTTTTTATTGGAAATGGGATTTCTGAACTGAGCCGCAATGACATTTTTAATTCAAATAGCCCATTGAAGTAAGTTATAAATTTGTAACAAAAATGGAGACTCTGCATCTAATTACCATTGTTTTGTTAGAAAACTAGTTCATGTTTAAAAATTACCTTGTGATTCTGGTTAAGACTTTTTTATGCTTCCCTGTACATTCAGAAGAGAAATACTCACTGCTTAGGGTTAGATTATGTCTCTGCTGGTTATCATGGAGGTTTCCCAAGTGTTAAGGCTTTTTGTAGAAAATTGATTTGCTTGAGTGTCTATGTGTTTTGACCTGCTAAATTCAGAAATCTGCATCTGTGTGGTACACTTCAGAGTTGATACTAAAACCAAGGTAGCAGCCAAGATGGCTGATGCCAGTTCCCTAGAAACATAATACTTGCCCTTCAAGTCACATTGTTTAACCAGTTATGCTCTTATGGAGTTGGCATCAGCCACTTCAGTTGTCACCCTTGGTTATGGACCAAGTCTCTGAATAGAATTTTGCTGGGGAGCATGAGTGGGAAGGTACTTTTATGCTCATGCCGTAGTTGTGGGCTTCCCATCGGTAACTGGCTGGCTACTTTTGACAGAGAGGTTTGGATTAACTAGGTGTTTGTTATGTATAGAGGAAACTGGGCAGGAGGGGGCTGTTGCACTCTTGTTCGGAGATCCCTTGGGCTGCTGGTTAGCCACTGTGTGAAGAGAATGCTGCACTAGCTGAACCCCTCATCTGATCCAGCATGGGTTCTTACATTCTTATATGCTTCTGAGCTTATTCTAAGATGTTAAATCACCCTTGGTTTTAAAAACAATACTAAATTATATTGCTTAGGTACAGACATATTTAGACAGAGCAGGTCAAAAGACCCTTTAAAAACACTCAAGGAAACAAATTTCCCAAACAAATAGCCTCAATAGCCACAAATAACTGTATCATTAGAGGAATCTGGGAAAAAAGCAATTTGTCAAATACTGTGGATATATGGCAGTTCTAAGATACTTCAAGAAGATACAGCATACCTAGCCATCTTGCGAATTTTATGCTCTAGGCACAGTAATACCACAGATTTTTATGAAGACTATGAACTAGTTTAAATTAAAAAAATCTATATTTTGATATTGAAATTATCTGTGTTAGCAGCTGGACAGAATTAATTATTCATTGTTGTAAATAATAGGATTCAGTAATTTTAAGATTTAAGATGGGCAGAAGAATGATGCAGATGATACTGCATAATAGTTACATCATTTCAGTATCTTCAGCACTGATGTGTTGCATCATTAATTTATGCAATCATAGGTCTAGAGCTGTGGATAGGTAGTTTATTCTTAACATTGTGTGTTGTGCTTTTCAGAGGGATGGGAATAAAAATGACAGAGCCAATTTACCTTAGTCCCTCATTTGACAACATGTTATCCAGTTACCTATTCTTACAGGTAAGTCATATTAATGACAGTAGTTTCCTGAAGAGTCAGACTGCAATCCTTTTTCTTGGTAATGAGCCCCATTAAACTTAGTGGTAATTACTTATGACTTACTAATTACTTATGACTTATGAGTTACTAATTTCAGTTTGGAAACATATTCCATCAAAATCAGGATTTTCCAAATATGTTTCTTATTTGATTGCATTTTTATACCTCACATGCTAGGCTAGGATTATGCTGGGTTTCCATTTCTGCAAATGTAATAATGTTATTCCATTTGTTCAAGGAAGTAGTACTGTATTTTGAAATTTATCTGTCCTGAAAGATAATAACATGTAGTAATAGCTAATATGCATTTTAAAGTACTGTTCAAACATTGTAGACAGTTTTGACACTGATGGAATAATTTCCTAATAATGGAATCAAGCTCTTTATTTTGAAATTGTAGTCCTTGAATGAGTACATTACAGTATTCAGTCAGGACACTGAAATACTTCATAAATACATGTTTCCTTATGGTACAATCCTATACGCATTTAGGCAGAAAAACTGCTGCATCTCCCAGCGTTCCCTAGCTACTCATGTTAGGAGTTGTAGGGCCCTCTTCTGTGAAAATGTGATGGCACTGCACCCTTAACTGACAATATAGTTCTTTGCAGACTTTCTCAGAATTTAGTCCCATTGCATTTGGTGAGGCATACTCTCTAATAAGTGTGTGAAGAATTGCAACCTTCACTGGAATTTCAGCCATTATCAGTTCGATTACTGTATATAGCAGTGTATGAGATGACCCTTGAAACCAGAAATAGTGAGGCAAAAATCAGGGTTGTCTTATATGCCAAATGAAAATTTTTCATCATATCATTTGTTTAAAAAAGATAATAGAGACAATTGTATTTACAAGCTCATTTTTATTAATAACCATTAATAAAAACTTCTTACTGGTATTGGAGGAGCTCGTCCTGCATCATGTCACACTGTGAGCCATGCACATGGCTGCAGACTCAGTCTGGCATCTGACTGGGTGCCTGCCCTCACCAGGGATGGTGCACCGTTCTGGGCTGGCAGTGGCAGCTGGGAAGGAGCGCATTCCCCATGTGGCTGTTTGTGCAGAGACACAGCATCACCTGCACAGGCCTCCTCCCTCTCACACACACCCCTGCCTCGCCCCCATGCCGACATGTATGTCTTGACATATGACAAACACCAGAAAAACAGCCCAAAATATCCACCTTGTCTGGTATGCGAGTCACCTTATATGCCCATTCATAGAGTGCGTATAAGGTGTTGACGTCTAAGAAATGTCTTTTTCTGTCAAAATAGGTTTTCCTTTCTAGAGCCTATAGCTGCTTGAAAGTTCAGTCCTATGGACTATATGCCCTTGGTGGTTAGAAGTCCCTAAACATGAAATCATCTTAGTATCCTATGCAGAAGAGGAGGAAAGGCAGAAGCAATCTTCACCTTCTTTTCCTTTCTTGCCTACCCTTCCTCCTGCCCTGCAGATTTCAATAGATGGACTTTTTATCCCATCTAGCAAGTTAGTTCTCAAGGGTAGGGAGGAGAAGGCTGGGGGGAGGTACTGAATGGAGCACCCCCACTCTGGTTTCCTCTCTTCCCAACACACCTGAACACCCCCTTTCCCTGTTTGGAAGTTAAATTTCTGACCTCAGCTAGCATGGTTCTTTCCCCACTGACTATGAGGGTCAGGGAAGGAGTTTGTGTGTTGAACTCTTTCTTCTAAGGACAGAGTACTGTCTCCAACCTCAAAGGAACAAGCTGTCCCATGGCCCTGGGGATGCTTGCCCAGGAACCAGGATTGCTCTCTTAGTGAAATATTGTGATGTTTATTTACACATATACTTGAACATGCATTATTGAGGAGAGAGGCATTCTTGTTGGAGGAACCAAATAATAGAATTAGATCTAAGTAAAAGATGTCTGTCATTTCTGAAATAAATGAGGGTTCTTAAAAAAAAACTTATTTTTTTCTCTGTTAGAATTTGCCTTCTGCAGTTGTGAGCTATGTTTTAAATCCTCAGCCAGGACAAAGGATTTTGGACATGTGTGCTGCTCCTGGGGGTAAAACAACCCATCTTGCAACATTAATGGGTGATGAGGTAAGTGAAAAACCTGAGCATTTTCTATTTCAATGAGGAAAATTTGACCTGTGTTTCATTAGTGGGGTTTGTTTCACTAAGAGCTAAAGATAACTGAAAGTAGCACACCATTAATATTTAGTTACAGTAGGATTCCTAAAACAAACAAATCTTTCTGATTTACTTGTTTCAAACAATTAGATATGATTTTTGTTTGACAATAGGAAAATATAATATAGCAGCCTTTTAAACATTCAAAATTCATTTAAACAGTAATTATACTGTAAGAACAATGCAATTCAGTTCAAAGTATTTGCACTTTCGTGATGGCATTGTGGCCAGCCATCTTCAGTAAGTTCAAATATTGATTTAATTATGGGTGTTTTAGGATCTGTAATAATTATTGTGTGATTAATTGAACTGAGTTAATTTGTATGTCAATCAGAACACCTAGTCAGCCTTCCACGTTTGCAGGTGTTAGGAGCTCAGGTGCAAGTGGAAAAACTGTAAATATATCTAGACGCTCCTCCTGCCCAAACTCACTAGTGCTGCCTCTTTGCAGCATGGAAATGCCTGATAGATTTCTTCTGTGGACGGGCAGAGCAGGATGGCATGCTTTGGAGGTCCTTCTTCTCTTCCCTTTTGACAAGTTTCTGCAGTAATTTTTTAAATTAATAGACTGTATGACAGTTTGTTCATAAGTATGGGTTGTTCTTAACTCAGACATTCATAACTCAGGGACTGCCTGTCCTCCTAGAGAGAATCCAATTCCTGTTCCCCATATGCAAATAGCAGCAGTCTGCATAACTTAAAGCAATGCATTTTTTAGTATTCTTATGATTTTGCATGTAGAAGCAGCAATGTGAATCTCCAATTCAAGGGATGTGATGTTGTAGATTTGGAAAGGCATTTGCCTGAGGCTTTGGAGAGCTACCAGCAGTTACTAGACCAGATGCTCTCTATTTTTTCCAAACTGTGACTCACTTTCAATATCATTTTGCAACATGGGTTCCATACAACTTTTTTTACTTTATATATCTGTTGTCTTCTTTCTCTTTTCCCCTTCTTTTCTTTCCTACTTTAACCAACACAAGGGAATGATGATGCCGCTAGTGTGATCTCAGTAGGTCATAGCGCAACCCACTTGGGAGCCTTGGTTGAAAGCATGGTGTAGATAATATTCTGCTAGATATTTTGTTTATCACAGAACACAGCTGAACGTGTTCACAGTGCATCCCAAAAGCTCAAGGAGATTCTTCTGATGTCTGTAATATTCTGTAATTGGTACATTTGACATCCATATTTTGGACCAGTTCACCAAACTCTGGAACTTGAGATGCAGGAACCAGGATGAGTAGATATCCTCTAATGCAGTGACCAAAGGGCTTGTTTTCAAAACATATTTAACATTTCATCTACACTGTGACATGCTTAGGTCCCAAAAGAAGCTTTTTTTGTTTATGGAAGTGTTCAGTTTTTCAGCTTGGGGGAAGTTCAGAATTTGAGCAGGGAATATAGACATTTGTTGTATTTTTGAAGAATTCAGCACTGACACGTATAATTTAGGAAACTTCTTAGCAAAACCTTTCATCTGCTAAAATGTTTCTCTTGTTTGGCTGATTGTCTAAAAAAGAAAGGTAGGAACACTAATAAATTTGCTAAGTGATGAAGCATTTTGTTTTGCAGAAAACTGGTTGATTCATTGTAATAAATCTGGAATAAATAAGTGTCTATTTAGGAGCTGAAGTAATATAACATGCATTAGCTAAACTTTATTTCTGTTGAAAAGGGGTTGTGCACAAAATAGCACAGTTAGCTTCTAGTTGTGGTCTGTATGTCAGCAGAAAGACTTATTTGTGGCCATGCATGCATGCACAGAAGAACTAGGCAATTTGTGATAGCTTCCTTGGCACAATATTGTATGTGTTCACTGAAGAATTCAGTCTTCTAGTATGAGGAAATTATCAACATATATGTACTTTATGAGGTGGAGCCATGGAATGTCACAAGAAACAATCACTTGTTTTCACTGTTCTTGTATTTATGTACGGTGGGGTGTTTCAGTTTACTTCATGGGATGAAGAAGTTGGCTTCATTCTGCAGCTTTCACATGGAACATGCATTTACCATGTATGAAGAACTCTGGTTCTGTCATTTCTGTGTAAGGAATGCTGGATTGAATTGTAACGTTATGTTATCTGGTCAAGCAGAGCGTTGCTTTAAGGCAAGTGGACTGGTGTAGTAGTAGTATGATGAAATAGCTGTATACAGCCTCTTCAAACAACCTTTAAGCAAGGAAAAACTAAACTTCTTGAAGCCTTCCTAACTGTTAAGATTTCCTTTTCCCATATGGCCTCCTCAGGTTCATAGGGGATAGGAAGTGGAAGATAGGAATCACACTTTGATGTGGCAGAAGAAACTAAATCAACTATATAAGTAGGACAGCTGGAAGCATGATACCTATAAGCCCAAACACCTTATCAAGAGTATGTTGAATGTGAGTAGCATACTTCACAGCTCCAGCACTTGATAGATTGCACCCTCAGTATTATTTAAAATTATTTGTGTACATTTGATTGTAATAAAGAATTATCAAAAATTTCAGCAATTCCACATCAGTTTATGTCATTCCTGCCTTTTGACTTCTAATATGTTGTGCAGGGAGAAGTGATAGCCATGGACAAGATAGCAGACAAAGTGAAAAAGATTCAACAAAATGCTGCATTACTGAAGCTGAATTGTATTAAAGCCTTTTGTTATGATGGTACTAAGGCACTTGCTGATAGTGAGAGAGAGACTGGGCAAGGTAATATGAGTTTTCTTGGTGCACATTTTGTGGCTGTGTTTTCCTGGGGGGAAAGGAAACCAGTTCCAGACCAGGAATTTGAAATGTAGTCCTTAGTCCTTAGTCCTGTACTGTGGTTTTACTAGACTTTACCATAAGTAGTTAATGCTCAGGATCGTTGATAATATTTAATGTTTATATACAAATCTATGAAACCCTAAAATGCTTTATAAGCATCAGTATTGTATCTTTTTAAGCTCTACTGTCTTGGATGATCAGTTCCTCAATGGGAACACATAGACTTATAAGGTGATCTTTTATGACTGTGTTTGCATGTAATACTTATAGTTTACTATTATAGTTTAATAGTATATTCTTGAGCCTCAGGCTTATACTCTATCCCCCTCCTCTTCTCGCACAGGACAAGGTAGATATCAGAAGTATCCACCTCCATTTTCATCTAATTGTGGTTTATCATTAAGTCAAACACCAGCAAAACTATAGTTAATGATCCTGTCTTGTTTGTATTAACCATAGTTAAGCGCAGAACATGTTAGCTGATATATTTCATATCCCCCTTACAACTGTGCTGGAGGGAAGAAGGGGAATCTGCATGTCCAAGGTTCAAGCATCTAATGCTAAACAGTTGTTTGGTGTTGCGTCCAAGCAAGGTTTATATCTTGCAATGCAATGCTATGTGTATTTATTCAAAACTAAAGATCATAGCCTTGAAATTCCTCCCCAAAATATATTTCCATGTATATGCATATATATAAAAGGTTTCTCAGTAGCTGCAAACATTGTTTAGCATTATGAAGGCAGGGCTAGTGTTCTCTTGGGCTTCTGTGGCCCTCCTGTGCCTTCTCCAGCATTGCCATGAAGAGACTAAAGTCTTCTACTTCTTTTTTAGATTAATCACTGGGCTAGTTTGTACAATTGCAGCAGCTCACCATGGCTTATTTATGGTGTATGCTGGGTGCCCTTTGGAATATTTAAGCCATGGCACGTAGTTACTGTATCTTACCATGTTGTACAAACATGGGGTGGGAAGTCACTGGGGAGGTTAATAAACCACCTATAGCCCTAAATCAGCCTATTGATTGTGGGTGTTTTGTTACCTATGGCAACAACCCACCCTTGCCATGTTCATGCAACACAATAAGCCATGGTGACAGCCTGCTGCAGCTTGAATATTCCTGAGTACACCCAGCATACCCACAATCCACCATGCTGCAGTCATATGAATTGTGTTACTGTTTAATGTATCCAAACCTTGAACCTCAGTTAAACTTAATTATGGTTAGTAAAAACAAGCCAAATGTATATAGTGTGGTTTGAAGGCGGCTTGTTTCTACTAACCATAGAAAAAGCTAACTTCATTTTATCTGAATTTAGCCAATGAGATTAATTGCAAATTTCAGTGAAAGCTTCCAAACGCTTCATATGACAATGTGGAAGTGTGTCACTGTGGTGGGGAAGCTAAGCTCATTCTTGTAATATTGTGATTTAGTGTTGAGCCCAAATTAGCCCATTGTCTTTTTAAATTTTCTTTACTCATTACAATTTAGTACCTGGCTGAGGTAGCAGGTTTTCTTGCACAGCAAATCCTCCAGATTGTGCTTTTAATGCTCTTGCTTCTTTCAGGCCAAGTGTTTGCTTTAAGTCGCCTCCCCCCCCCAACACACCCATCTACAAATATGTAACTATACATTTTGGCATTTAAGGCATCTTTCATAAATACAATTGAGGTGGCAATTGGAATGTCTGGTACAGACCTCAGCACATAATTAAGTGGTGATATAAAAAGATTTGAAGAAATTCACATTTAGACGTATGGCACCAAAATGTGACATGTGAGATCATTCAGGGAAAGAGTGAAAAGCTAAGCACATTTCATTTTCTTTGTGCAAATACAATGGCAAATTGTCAAGAATTATTAAAGTAACATAAAGACTCTAAATTGCAGACTGTACTAATTTAACTGTATTAAAATAACAACAGGCTTGTGACATTTAAATGGATTATACTATGAGGTTTGCAATCACAAAGGTAAGCATACAGCATCAGTTGGCTATAATTTTGAAACTGTTGCATTTCTTTTAGAAGGACCTCCATTCTTACCAGAATCATTTGATCGAATTCTTCTTGATGCTCCCTGTAGCGGGATGGGGCAGAGACCAAATATGGCTTATTCCTGGTCTTTAAAGGAAGTTACTTCTTATCAACCTTTGCAGCGTAAACTCTTTAGAGTGGTATGTATTAATAATAAAAACTGCTGCAGAAAGTTGCAGATATACAGCATTTCCTTGGAAGGAGTGTGCTAGCAGCCTTCATCAGACCATAGCTGTTGCTCTTACATATAGAAGTTAGTGGAGAATTCTTACATGTATTACTGACTACTTGTGCAAGGCTTCTGTATTTCTGTATGCATTCAATTTTTAAGGCCCCTTGCAAAAATGTCAGAAATTAACATATTGATTCTCATTCTTTGCCTATCAGGCCTTGGGAAAAAGGCAAAAATCTCTAGATCTACTCAATAGTATATCAGTTGGCAGTAGAATGATCAGTTATCCTTTCTCTAGTTCACAAAGAAGCAAGGTAGAAATCAGGATGAGCATTATCATTACCTGTCAAATTATTACACTTATGTAGTATAGCTGCATTAAATCTAGCTCTGTGTCAAAAAAGATTATTTGGTAAATAGAGCATTTTTGGTGATTGGTGGAAGCAAAGGGGCAAACCATGTTCCAAGGTTTTTAAAGTTGAAGGTAAGGCAGTTCAAACATAGATACTCATTCATATCAAATGTTAAATAGCTATTTAATGAGAAGCTAGTTTCTCTTATAGATCATTCCTTGTACCCTTGTAAAATAGAAGGTCTCTTTAGTAAGCAGAGATGCCTCTGAATCTGTTAGGTATTTAGTAGTATTGCTTAAAAGTATATAGACACCCCTTCCCAATAAAGCAGTACAATTTTTAAAACTTCAGTCCTGAAAACTTTGCTGTGACTGTAGCCTAACTGCTTACACCAACATAAATAAGAAGAATCCATTTCTGTTTAATGAGACCATTAGCGGAGTGGATCCAATGGGAAGATGGCCTGGTGCCCTCTTTGCTTTGTCCCAAAAAAGCTTTAATCTCACTGCTGTGCTAAAATGGAGGCTGGGAACATCAACATTCATAATTTATTCAGCTGTGTTCCCCTGTGTATAGGAATCTGCTCAGCCAAAAGGAAAGAGAAAAGTTTCAGTCTTGTCCTAGAGCTCATCAGATGTTTGTTTAAAGGTCAGTTTGAATAGATGCATTCAACTTTTTCTAAAGGAGAAGCCACTGAGGAACAATTGGCTCACTTTCTGAAGGTAGCTAGAAGATAAAGTGCCCAGAGAATTTAAAATTCCAAAAAGGAGTAAGGTCTTAATGATCAAATAAAGATTCATACATACTTGTTCTTGCTTTGTGATTTGTCTCCTCTGCGTTCCACCAGACACTATTGGCAGGAATACTTGGCTGCAGAATGTTGGGGGAGGTAGTGAAGTGGTGACAATCTATTTGGGTGACATGCGCGCGCATGCACGCGCGTGCGCTCTCTCTCTCTCTCTCTCTCTCACACACACACACACCTTCCCACAAAAAGGCAACTTCAAACTAAGCATGTATGGCAGTCATATATAAGAAGTAGTTCTTAGTCCTGCAATAAATATTGTGTTGTTCCTTCATACAGAGAAAACATTAAAACTACAATGCTGCATATATCCTATTTTGGTTTTCTTAGGCTGTCCAGCTGCTGAAGCCAGGAGGCATCTTGGTATACAGTACCTGTACAGTTACTCTTTCTGAAAATGAAGAGCAAGTTGCTTGGGCACTGGAGACTTTCCCATGCCTCCAGCTTCAGTTACAAGTAAGATTATACTTTATACATTTTTTAAAAAAATTAACAACCCTATGTATATTCAGTTACGTGCTTTCTGACAGTTGAAGAACTCCCTGTAGAAAAAGAGTGAAAGGACAGTTCTGCAGATCACTGTCAATATCACCACATAATGAGTACAAGGGATACCTGCTGTTTAGCCGCAGCAGATATCCAGATGTTTTTCTTTATTTTCCTTTATCCATTCACTAACAATGCACTATGACCCTTGGAGTTCTTTTTTTTTTTTTTTTTGCGCAACTCGATTTTGGTCTGCGTGTAGGGGCAGTATTTTTTGTAATTTGTAGATGTTGTCCAACATCTTTCATATCTCTGGACTATCCATGAAAAAAAAATGTGATTGAGAAGAACAAAACACTACTTCATATGTGAAGCCCTGTCTCAGTACTCTGTGCTTGAACTACAAGGACCCTAAGCAAAGGGTTTGAATGCTTTTCTCCCCTCCCTTCTCCTTCCCTGTGCAACTGGAACTTGCAATGTTCAGTTTCACTTTCAAAGAATCCTAGCTTAGCATTATATACAACCAAAGATCATGATTTGCACTTGATTATTTAAATAAGTCAGTTAATCCATGGTTTGAAGTGTGCTTGTTTAGAAATTGTTTAGAATGATTTCAAGGATCCCACCTAAAAGAGATGAAAATTTATATTAAAAGTATGTGCTGTTTAGAACGCTGCTTCACTGGGCAAAGTTCTAGATTCTCTGATCAGAGTGCATAAAGATAGCACTTCATTGGTACGCTCTCCCCCAGTGAAATGGAGTACAGATCTGGGTCCTGTAACTGTGAAGTTGTCAGCAGCTGTGGCATTGCCTCTGAAGTGGGGCCGTGTAAACCTTCCTGTCACTGAGCTCCTGTTTGTCCCCTATAAAGGGCACTGGAAGCAGCAGATGGATGCCTGCGCTGACTTAGTCGTGTCTGGACAGCCTGCTGATCCTGTAGGGAGAGTGGGCTGGGGAGACATCTGTGTCAATGAGCTTTCATGACTCCATTGCCCTTCTTTTTACAGGGAAGAGCTGATGCTTAGTGCTTTTGCAGCAGTTTGGGAAGAATTAACCGGTATAACTGTTTGTGCCCCGTGTTATCAGATATTTGCTAAATCAATGCAGAAATATGACACAGAACTGTGAAAAGTTATGTTCACAATTTGCAGATAACTGTGCAATAATGAGGAGTTTAATTAGTTACACTTTGCTTCTCCCAGACCTTCACTGACAGAGTGGCTAAAGGGATTAGGTTTTAATCTTGCAGGATTAAATGGCTGAGACAGACTCTAATTTGACAGTGAGTTTTGTGCAATTTTTGTAATCATGTTTATCTTATTGCATGCCTGCACACTATGTGGAGTATACTATTATGGTTGCAGTATGCTGCATTAGAAATCTGATGGCATAAACTATTGAACTAGTAGAATGCCTTCCTTAGACAGAAAGACCAGAAGTGATGCTGCCACACACTCTATGAACAGACCTGTGTTGTGGCCAGGCCTCAAATCTGGTAAAACCTATTTTGCAATTAGGATCTACCAAATTAAGCAGAAATCCACTCTGTTTGTATAAAACTCATTTGCACAATGGGCCAGAGGCAGGAAGGGACAGAATGCGTTAAATATGGTATAAGTAAGACCAGTATTAGTATTGCTTCTGTTATTTTCTCAAATGAGAGACAGAGAAGATATAAGCATCTATACTCTGGCCCAATCTCCTAGAAACTCAGGATAGCACCCTGACATGCCCAGCCCTTGTTGTAGGTAAAGCTTTTCCATCTTGATTGGTACAAGGCAGAATGGTCAAGGTTCAGGTTTTATGGGAATAAAACTATATGGAGCAGGGGTAATAACACATTTACCTCATTTCCCCGTTTTCCTAGTAGAGAAGCTGCTCTAACTACTCTGCCATAACACTCGTATACATGTCTACAAGTGTCTCGATGCTTTCTCCACACCTAATATCAGGCATGACTTGCCAACAGTTCCTGGGAAAACCCATTCTTTTTTAGAAAGCACAACAACATAGTAATCTTTCCCTCCCTCTTCCTTTAGTAGCATACAACAGCTGAGCATCTGCTTTGCTGATTCAACAAGCTAACCCAAACATAAATTGTATAAAGAATGATAGTGTCAGTTATATTAAGGTATATACTGATAACACATGAGTATGATCTTTTTTTCTTTTCTGTAGCATAATTACCCCTGTAGTCTAACCTATATATATAAAATCAAAAGAATGCAGCAAGACTCAAGATTCTTTCTACAGTAAGAATATTTTAAATATCTCTTTGCAGATGTAGGCTTGGAGTACTGACCCGTGTGAATATAGCTTTTATTTTCAGTTAAATAAATAATGAAGTACAGAGCAATTAAAACCACTTATTTTATTTTCCTCTCTAAAAGGAGCCCCATGTTGGAGGAGAAGGCATGATGGGAGCTGGGTTGTCACCTGAGCAGTTGAAACGGCTGCAGAGGTTTGATCCATCAGAGGCATTTTTACAGGGAATAGATTTAAATTCATTGCAAGATCTGAAATATGAAGATTTGATAAGATTGGCAAATAAGGACTGCATAGGATTTTTTATTGCAAAATTCATAAAAGTGCAGTGAAAATCATTTTGGAACACAATATAAAAATATTCTTTCCTTTAACATTTTGGAATATTCTGAACTGTACCTCATGCTGCTGCAATGTTGCCAAGCCAACGGACTGACGACACAGTTGCTATAGCAGCCGTGAAATCTGCCAGCTGTTTCCCTTGGGAGAGATCTACAGGTTGGAGAAACAAGTCGGAGGGAATGGGCAGTTGCAGTCTGGAAGGCTCTGTTTGGTTTTGTATTAACAGTAGTTCACTGATTCTAGAAATGTGCTTTTTCCTTAGTTTGCCCAGATGATTGAATTTCAAAAGACATTTATAATCGTGTACAATTAGAAGCCTGCTTTCAAAGTATATTATACTTGACAAAATATCAGTAATGAAAATATTGGTCATATTTTATAAAGTCTTGCTTACTGATTTCTCAGAGTGCTGTTTTGAAAAACAATTCTATATTACTAAATATCATCATTCAACAGAAAGCAGTTTTAAGTGAGACATCGTGCTGATATCTTAATTGTTATATTGCTTATATTTCTTAGGAAATGCAAATCAGGGTGCTCCAAGATCAACTGAGCTGTATTCCATGCTGGGTCAGAGCCAAAGTAATATTAGAATTGAGGGAACAAGACCAATGCTGCTGTCATTTTCTGCATTCTGTCCTAAAGGAGATAGCAACTCAGAATCTTAGTATTCCCACTGCTTTTTATATTTCCCCTTTTTAAAGCCTGTACAATCCTAGGCACCCTTTCATTGCCCTATTTTGTTTCGGGTTTATAGGTTAGGGAATTCCATTGCATTTCAAGAACTGAGAAACTGATAAGTAACACCGGCACTGATATAAAAAATGTATGTTGATGGAGAGAGTTAAGGTGGTGGGGCAGCTAGCACTCTCACACTCTCCTATCCATTTTGACCGGTTAGGGAAGAATCATAACTGGTGAGACATGTATGCTAAAAGCCAGGAATCATTAAGGCAAATGCACAGGATCATGGCTAAAGTTGTAACTTAGAATGTGGCAACTGGAAAATGAGCTATCTGTAATATCCTGTCAAGGACTGGTAAGAATTTTGCCGCCGTAATAACTGTATGCAACATCTATGGCAAGGAACAGTCCTCTCAGTGTGAGATTCTTTCGATAAAAAAACAGGGAACATTGATTGCTTTCATGTTCTCTCTGTGAGCCTTTCATTTGTTTGGCTGATGTTACAGGTAGATGGCTGGACTAATGCTGTTAGAGTATTGTACTCTAAATAAACTCATTTGTATATCCATCTATGTTTGGCTGATGTAAGGTGGCATACAGAGACTAGGAACAGTTCTTATACCTCCTTTAAAGAAGGCAGAGGAAGAAGGCCAACAAGAAGGATTCTGAAACAGTCAAGGCAGAAAATAACTTTGAAGTAAAGAGCTTGTGTGACTTAGGTTTAGTACTAGTTCTTATTTCATAATTTTTATACTATTTAATACTGACTCTGGAAAGAAAAACCTGATTTCAAATGGGAGACCAAGGTCAGAGAAGACTAGATAATTTGCTTACATTAGCAATAGCCACAAAACTTCTAAATGCCATTATAAATGTATTTTTCTTTTGAGAATATTTTGACCATTACAAATGAGTACATTTCTAGCACAATCCAGCAAAAATTCCAGTGGCAGCAAAGTTATACTGAAAGCAACAGAATGAAAAGTCAGGATATATGTCTGAAACTCTTAATTTTCCTGGAATCAAAAGTCATTCTTAAATGAAAGAAAATAGTTGGAGCTTGAGCTGGTGGCAGCAGATTTTCCCACCTGCTCTTTCTATAGTAGCCCTAGGAGCCCCTTGTAAATTCTGTACCTGGATGGGCCGGGCAGTGTTGTGGAGGGAAAGGAGGTATCTCTGAAATCCAGACAGAAGTATGGCATCATCTGTGAGCGGAGTCTTTCCATCTATGGAAGGTGGATTCTGGATCTAACTCTTCCCATTCATTACTACCCCGAAAGCCCTTTTGTTTTAAGAATATCTAACATGCTTACCGATCATTTCATGTACCAAATACCATGGGAATTGCAAGTTCACATGTTTGCCCTAAATCCCATACCATGCGAGCAGTAAGCCCATTGCACAGTCTCAGATTGTGTGCTTGTATACAATGTAGCCTTCATGTGTCCAGGTTTTCCCTAATTTTTCAGCAGCTTCACAATGATTACTTGCAAACTTCCTACATTTTCACTGAGACATGGAGAATGGCTGACATTATTCATGACAGGCTATATATAGAGAGGTGGGCAGAACAAGGTTGATAGACAGTATAGAATAGAGTAGGGGCAGGAAACATGTTGAATACCAGATGATACTAAACTGCAGCTTCCATCATTTCTCACCTTTTATGATGATGGTTAGGTTACCTGATTTGTAATTTCTCTACCCTCCCTCCCTTTTCCTGTGTAGAAGCAATAGACAATCAGTTGAGTTATATGATGGATAGTTTTTTTTATCTCAGTATTTTGAAGGTCCTAAAAGCTTATAGCCCCTACCATTTTTTCATTTTCCACATTCTCAATTATTTGTCCTTTGTTGTGCAAAGTTAGATAATGGGTTCTGCAGAGTCAAAGAAATGCTTATTTTTGTTTCACCTTAGTTTCCAAAACATAGAGAATTGTAGAATCAGTATACATTTATACTGTCCCCTCCCCCAGCCATTGCCACTCATCATATTCTGATTCCTTAAGAAAAAGCTCCCTCCATCATCATTTACCAGACAAAACACTCCTATCCATATGTTATTCAACACAATTATATATACATCCATCTTTTCTCGGTGTCTGTTTTGCTTTGTAACATCCAGCACAAATCCTAATTACTAGAGCAATAGGCATTTTATTCTGCTCTAAGCAATGTCTTCATAGCAACATTTTATGTGTGTATTGAATTATTTAAAACTCTGCTAAATTCTGAGTGTCAGATTCATGGTGAGCAGCCTCATACTAAAAATGGCACCATCACCTTGCATAAAGTACAAGACCAGCATACTTCCTGAAGGGTACTTTTTTTGAAGCATAATGGAGAGGGAAGGAATATTTGACAAATAAGGTCAGTAATAAATTAAATTGGCAATCATCTGGGACCATAGGGTAGTATGGATCTTACCTTCTGGGCAGGGGCATCTTCTGTGAACATAGCCCTCCCTTGAGGGCAGATCCCAAATCTAACTCTGATGGCATTCATTTCCCATTAAAATCAATAGTAATTATTTATTCAGATAACTGCAACTAATTCAGCTTGGAGAAGACCCACTGATTTTCTAGGAATTAAACTATACCACATAGATCTTTATATGGGTGCTTACTGTAAAGTTTCCATTTGTAGCTGCTGAAGAATTTGAAATTCTGCCAAAGAGTTGCAAAGATAAACTTGAAGTAGGACAAACCCTACAGAGACAAAGAATGGGAATTATGAGCCAGACTGAGAATGCTCACAGGAGACTCTGCAGTTGGGGAGAAGTATAGTATACTGGAATTTATCAGGAGGGGAAAAAACAGTGGAAAGGGAGCCCGTGGAAAATCTAAGAATACTGCCCCTTACCCTAGCACACCAAGTATCTCCTGAGCCCTGTAGCTAGATCAGTACCTTCCTGCCCCTAGCCCTGAACTCTCAGCAGTCTAGCATGTCACTGTAACTGTGCTATAGCACTCACTGCTGAAGTTTGGGGAAGGTATGTAGGACGATGCTTATCCAAGGATGACGACTTTATCCTCTCTTCCTGCAGCAGGCCTACTGGAAATATTAGGCTTCGAATCCAAACTCTCAGCAAATTTGAAGTTGCTAGGGTCTCTGCTCCAGTTAGAGCTGAAAAGAGTCCTTCAAGGTAGAGATGCCCAAGCAAAGAGATGCAGCTTTTCTAAGTGTTTCAGCTGATCTTTCACATGCCTAGTAGCTGCCTACCATGCCCCTTCCTTCTGAAGACCTTAGGAATTTACTGTTGGAATAAGGGACGGTTTGTGTGCCTATTCATGCACAGGCAGCAGGCACCTTCCCCCCCCCCCCCCCTTCCTGCACCCCAGATTTTCCCCTGCTGAGCTAAAAAGTAGCAGCTGATGTGAAAAACCTCTCCCATCTCTGGCAACCTACTACTCAATATGGCAGACAATACTGGGTTAGACAATCAGAGAATATAATTGACTTTATATAAAGCAGCTGGCTATAACCCTGCCCCAGTGAAAGGCTCAAATGAGCACTTTACAGCTATATAGCAGGGGGTGGGGGTGGGGGTGAGAGGGAAAGCTTGTCTTTCATTTTTCATGAAAACCTGCATAGTGCCAGGATGGGGGACTTTAAATACATACACCCCTATTCCTTCCTGTTCCCCATCCCCAGATAATATAAACAGTTGGGGCTCGAGCAGACTAATTCTGGAGTAGACCAAGATCTTTCTAGTCCAGCATTCTAGTTCCATGGTGGAGGACCAGATGCTTCTGGAAAATTCCAGAAAGCAAGGCATGAACATACCAGTACATGTTTTCCAGTAAATAGCTTCTGATACTGAATTAGCCATCATAACTAAAACCTTTCTAAAACCATCCAAGCTATTTTCCTTCACTGTATCTTGCAACAAATTCCATAGCTTAGATATGCACTGTTTGAAGTACTTAGGTGTACTTTTATTTACAAACTTACATGCTGTTTACTAAAGGCAGTCATCCAAGAATGTGGAAAACCCTACCTTATTTTTTGGATGATCTTGTTTTGGTTCCACACTGATAGGCACACGACAACCAAGTTTGCTAGTAGAGAGAATGATGTCAAATATTAATTTCTTCTGCAGCACTGAGACTTTTTACATGCTAACATATTGTGTACATATTTAGCAATGCAACATCTACCTGCATGATGTTAGGATATGCTACATTTTAGGCCGATCTACAGATTTCCAAAACTGACAGAAATTAAAATGTCGACATCTAGCATACTTATCTTGGAAGGAATCATCAGTTTAGATAACAAAACCCAATGTTTTCCTGAAATTCTCATTTGACGCATACATTTTAAGTGTACTGAGATTAATGCAATTCTGTTCCTCCATTCTTTTCTCAAGTACTCACTATTTGATGATGTAGAATCACTTGTTTTCTGGAAGGAATGTTGGGAATAAATTGATCTAGCATGGGCCATGCAGAGACAGGTGAAATATATGCTGTATTATCTTGTATTTAGTACAAGTACTGGTTGTATAGTGCAGACTGGAATTCCTTACAGAATCTTGTTTGAATCTGACAGTTTGATAATTACAATAACCTGTTAGCAACCTACTGACAACTAAACCCAAGCTTACCATGACAGAGAGTTAAATATCGAAAAAGTGGAGAAGCTACAAAAATTTATTTTCCAACAAAATAACTCTCCACAAGCGGTGTAAACTTTTCTTACTAAAACAAATACTCTAAAACACAAAAAGATTTTACATTTCCAGTGAAACACTCACAGTCACATTTTGCCTGTGTTTTTAACTTCCCTGGAGCCTCAACAAAGAGCCAGCAGATTGATGCTTTCCTAATTACCTGTAGCCGTAAACTTGCTCGTGTTGCTTTCCTGCAATTTGGAATTTTAGCATTATAGACAGAAGAAAGAAACATACTCAGTTCTGGGATAATCTGTAATCTCAAGGCCAACTGGTTACGATTAGGCCGTAACTTGCGCACTTAGCTGCTCTGGTGGGTTGCCTACTAACATGAGCATTATGACCTTGATGTGGAAACATTGTGTTCTGCTTCTGTAAGTTGGTGTACTGAAAGTGTGGCAGTTCCTTCTCCAAGAAGTAGCTGCACAGTCTTCCATGGGTGTCTTCCTCTGATGCTGCATTACCAATGTGAACAGATCTCATGCCTGAGCAGCTAAATATGCAAAAAAAGGCAGATTCATAACACGGATTCAGTTTTAGATTCTGTTGGTTACCCTTTGCAACCACTCCTGTCACATATTTCCTCGTGTGTGTGTGTGTGTCTGTGTGTATATATATATATATGCTTTTACACACAAACATACACTCTAGTACACCATGTCAAATGTGGCCTATTAAGTTGAAAAGAAAGTTATCTGTGTGCCCACCACAATTAGTGTGTACTGTGCTTGACCAGTTTGAGTGTCACATTATTTTTGCCATAGATTTAAAATGCAAAAATGGTAGGTTTGCAAGGACAATCCAACCTTTTACCTAAAGTATTCATTCCTATTTACACTAAGTACAAGAAAGTGTGTCTAGAGTGAATACTGTTAACAAATTTCCTGAATGAGGCTAGCTTCAGTTGTCAGTAATTCAAAAGCAAATCTGCTGACTTGGCATTAGGATTCTAAAACAGTGTGGTCAATCTTATGTAAGAAGGTGTTCGCAGAAATAACATTTATAAACTGTCTATACAGTACACAGTACCAGTACATAGAAAAGAGATTTTGACTTCATGATCCCCAGTGTGTAAGGCAAGACTTAATTCTGTCCCCAAATGTAGTCCACTAGAGGTACAAGCAATATAAGAGGCTCTTAAATCAATATGCAAATCAGGTGCCTACAGTTTGAAAAATCAGAACAGATGAGAGCTTCAGTTTTGGATGTGCTGATTTTGGCTTGCTGAAAAACATGGGAAGTTATTAAACATCAACTGTTTTGTCTGAAAACACTAACAACACCTTGATGGCAACAGATATTGTTCAAGTGGCAACTACCAAAAACAGCTTTGGGGGGAAAAGCACGGTACAACATGAGGAACTTTGCAGTTGTACTATGCCCATGTGTTATAGCACTAATAAAAATGAGTATTGTATTTCAGGCTATTGCCATGAAAGCAACAGCAATACAAAATCAGCATACAGGATACCACGCACTCTGCAATGAAAACCCAAATTTGTTTTTTTTTTAAGGGGCTTTGTCATACACAACTTCAAAAGAACACAAAACTGCCAATGGCAAATGTTACTGGTGGATATACACATCCCTCTTCCATTCTGCTGTATCGTTGCGTTTTTTAGGTATCAATTCACCATCCCTGTCACAATACTGGTCCCTTGATTTATGGCGGCTCCGCTGCTTGTTGCCTTCATTGTGGTCATGCTCTCGGTCCCTCTCCTTTGAGCGATGCCTCGATTCTCGATGCCTGTGATCACTGCTCCCGTGGGACTCATCCCTATGACTGTGATCTCTATAAGAATCATAGTGTTCATGTGAGTAGTCCTCCCTGGACTCTATGTATGCTGAATCTCTGCTGTCTTGCGTTTCTGAGTCAAACGTTTCTTGTCTAGACAGGCCACGGCTAGTTCCACTACGATGGTTATGGTGATGACTTGATGAAGAGCGATGTTGGGACTTCCTGGTGGGTTCAGCCCTAGCTGCTTCTTCCCCTTGGGAACCAGTTCGTTCAGGGGCTGATGGTTCATTCCTCTGATCTCCTTGAGAGCCCTGATCAGTACAACAAAATTGAAATGTCACACCCGAAAACTTTAAACAGAAAACAGTGGCATCTCATGGTCCTCAAACCTATTACTCCTGAGCAGGCTCGCTGACTTCCACAAGCCCATTCCATTGTAAGTGGTTTGATGGCAACTACCTATAGCTAGCAATCTTGGTCTAATCTAGGAATTTCAGAGTTCAGCTTTTACTAGAGATACTGCTTTATAATACAAGTGAATTGCCATTCCTAAAAGAAAGCAAAGTCAGCCTCTTATTTTCTGACAGGCCCTGAGCTCAGGTGATCATAATCACTTTTATAACATGCTGATTAGGTCCAAATAATAGCACAGACACACCAAGCTGGAAGTAAAGAGCAGATCTGGCGATGGGGTGAGTCAGACACTAAATATGCCTGAGACACTTTTGAAAGTGTACATCAGTGGGAAAAGTTCAAGAGCAAACAATAGAATGAAGACAAACTAAAGGATTTTCTGTTTTAAAAACAGATTTGTTTTGCCTTAAAGATTTATCAGAGATTCAAACATGATAGCACTTGTATTATAACAACGATAATATCACCGATGTACTGTTTTTGAGTCAATTAAGTGGCATTCTACTTATTAGTAAGAGGTCATTTTGAGTGCACAAATTATCTCTTTGGAAAGAATGAACTTGGCCAAAAACAGACACAGTGAAATTATCATTTAATTTTGTAGCACATTACTGGCGACTGAAAACAGAAGTGAAAATTACCAAGCATAATCAAACCTAATCTTCATCGGCACAATGTTTTGAAATCACTGAAAAATGAATAATTACGATTAGCTTATGGTGTAGTTATACCAGTCGTTTACAGTCCCCACCAAGAAATTCATTAAAAGCTTTGGTTATTGTTTACAAATACTAGTTTTTGGAAGCTGGAAGTGGATCCCTGTTCCTGCTTGCAACAGCGGCTCCAGTGCCCTCAAAATGCTACACAGAGGAGCAGGATAATGGGGGGATTCCCAAAGATTGGGCAGAGAGATGTTCCACAAGCAAAACCCTTTGAGTCAGGGGAGGCAGATCCTGGATACAACTCTCAGCATGCCCCAGTTCTTGTCTAGACAGGTGCAAGTTTGATCCTTAATCTGATTATCAACCAACAGAGCTTGAAATGCACCATGTTCATTGCATTCAACATTTAAAAGCATCAAGATTTTGGACTGCTCTCGCACTCCCCCAAAACCAACCATGTTTACTTAAAAGGGGGGGGGGAGTATAAGGAAGGGGCCCACAAAAGAAAGGTGTGGGACTTCCAATACTGAGGCATTATCTGAGAAAGAGATTAAAGAGTTATTCAATAGGATCAGTACAAAGAGGTGCACACACAGAGTGTTAATTTAAGGCAAGAAGTGTTTTAACAGGTGCTGCATTCACCTCTTTTATGGAAAGTAATTATTCTTAACCTCAGAGATAGCATTTAGTCTTCAAAGATGCATTATATCTAGCTTAGTAGATGCAGAAGCAAGTTTGTGAGCACTAAAGGGCTTGGCTTTAGCCTTAAACATGCACAGCTATGCACCTTATAACTTTTGTTGCTGCTATTTCTATGCAAAGCAGCGCCACATTGTGAGAGCCATTCTTTTCAGATTTTTTTTTATGGCCTTCAGTTTAGACTTCAGCACTGAGAGCCAGGGCACTGGTTAGAGAGTTGGACTTGGGAACCTGAGAGATCTGGGTTCTAGTCTCCATTCAGTCATGCAGCCGACTGGGTGACTTCTGGGACAGTCACTGATTCTCAGTCTATCACACCCCACAGGGTTGTTGTGATGATCAAATGGAGAGGAGGGGACCTTGTAAGTCACTTTGGTTTCTTTGCAAGAGAATCAGATGTGGGGCATAAATGTAATGAAACTATACTAGAAACCAATTAAATTAATTAATTGTTTCTGGTGACATTCTGTTTGCATTGGATCTGAAAACTATATATCTGCAGTGCTTTCAAACAATAAACCCACTGAACGGAATGAGACTTAAATCAGAATCACATTGAACAGAACCCCTCTGTAACACAAGGCACCACCACAGTGCAGTTCTCTGTGTTCAGCAGCAGTTCTCTCAGGAAATCTTTTCAAGTAAAAAGTACCTTTACCTGTAGATTAACATTTGGGCCAGGGTTGATAGGAAGGGTGGCAGTGGCCAGCGTGCGAGTGAGAAGCTGAGTGGGGGGATTGCTGCTGGCAGGATGTGTGGCCTTCCAGTAAGCTTCCAAATAGTCAGCCAGGTGCTCACAAGCATCTTCAAGCTGGTTCTCATCCAGAATCACATCAAACATTTCCTGTAAATGGGATATTTTAGTCAGAATGACCCAAGCACCAAATAAAAACTTGCAACCTAAGGGCACCAGGTGTGCGTTGACAGAACAACAGGCCTAAAACTCTCAGCATGCCCCCGCCATCCAAGATGAGAGTAGTAGCCTTCTTGTCTAAACAGGCATGCAACTGATCCTTAAATTTGATTACCAACCAACAGAGCTCGTAATACATCGTGCTCATTGCATTCAACATTTAAAAGCATCAAAAGTTTTTGGACTGCTCTCCCACCCTGCCAAAACCAACCAAGTTTACAAAAAAAACAAAAACCTAAGGAAGGAGCCTGCAAAAGAGAATTGTGGGACTCCCAGTGCTGAGGCATTTTCAAAGGAAGAGATTAAAGAGCCATTCAGTGGGATCAGTGCAAGGAGGTGCACGCAAAATTCCTTCTCTCAGTCCAGCTGGCCAGGCAACATGCACAGATTCTCCTTCTTAAGCAGTAACTGCACCAGTCAGGAGTGAAGCAGAGGCAGGCTTGGATTGATTCCCTTCCTGCAGCTGAGTTGCCTTGATTGTTGTGATTACTGCTCTTAGAATAGGGGCTGTGCATATGCAGAGATTAGAAGATTTACAGAAATTCTCTAAGTCCCTCCTCCTGTTTACCAGCCTCTTCTGCCCTGTGGTTAGAAACTGCTATACAAATGTATATCCAGGAAAAATGAAGTGAGTTACAAATATACATTTATATGGTATATATTAAGAATAACTCACTGGAGGGCACTGAGCCAGTTTATCAGCTGCTACCATTTGAACATTAAGGTGCTTGGCCTGAGATTTGCCTCGGGATTTTATCAACCTCTGTAAAACCTGAGGAAAAGGAGATTGCAGTTAAAATACAAAGAATGAAGAAAGACATAATAATCTCTGAAGCATGTGGGGAAAATGCAGCATGTTCAGGTACATAAAGAGCCGATTTAAAGTGGGGCACACAGATTAACTACTGTGGACCAGACCCTGCAGCACTGCCAAAGGTCCTCTATGCTAATTATTTGTAATGTATTTCTTCTGTGCTTTCAGAAGGATTTTTTTCCTCCCTCTTGAACTCATGAGAAGGTTTTCTGCTTGCAATTGTCTCCTCGTACAGAAGATTCCAATTGTCCTTTTTTTCCAAGTATTTCTCCCATTTCCTTGCCTCTTTCAGGCTCAATCAGAAATGCAGTAGCAACCCATGTATGGAAACTGTGTGTCCAATTCACTGGAAACCATCCATTCATTGATGATCTTTTCCCACACAGTGTAGTTCAAAGTGGCAACCCATCAATATTTACAGGCAAGGGAGTTAAAATTAGCATGACTTCATACCACAGAACAGAGCTGAAAGCAAAAGAATGGCCAAACTAGCAACTAAAAATATTTACCTTTGGAGAAGAAATCTTTACATACACTATAATGGGAGCCAGAGAGGTTTTACTAAGTTGAGCTGGATGATTAATGGTGTCAGCATCAAGTACTACCAGCTGTAATGTCCTTGCTAATTCAAATATTCGTTCAATTTCACTCTGAACTTCAGCTGTAGAAAAGTAAAGAAACTCCAGTTATGACTATGTTGAAGGACAATTCCTTTTGTAATGAAGAAATGATATAGCAACATGGAATTATGTCCGTTACAGAAGAACATTTGGGCTTTTCACACATGGGTGTTTTAAAAATAAAAATTTTAAAGTATGCATATGGTTCCAGTGAGTTATGTTTTCTAAATGCAGTACATTCATCCTTGTCACTAACAGAGAAGCTTATATTGCTAACAGGTTAGGGTTATGATCCATTTTTACACCAGTCATGAGATCTGAGTGCAGGAGAGAACAGTTTCAGAATTGTACCCTCTTGATGGAGAGGCAGATGAGTAGGCTGATGCAGCATAATTTGGAAGCCACGTATAGCATGTGATCTGATGGAACTGCACACTGTGGAAAACATGTCACACTCTCTATTTCCCATTGCTATTGCTTCTGTGGTAGATTAGCAACTGTCAAAATAGAGACAGAAAGAGACCCCCACCCCCCGCCACATCTTCCTAACTGCTAGGGCCACTAAAAATAATCTTTTAACAGATAATAGCCACAGCAGTGGCCAAATCCAGTTCTCATCAACAGTCACCTTTCACATGATAATTCTTAGGGTTCCTTCTGGACTGCTGTAACTGTTTTGCTACTGTCCTGACTGATTTGAACATGCAAATGGAAAGAGGAATCAAGCAAACAATGTTTCCCCGGTATGTCCTGCTCTCAAACAGAAAGAGGTGCAGAGTTTCAAGAAGAAAAGCTAGAAATGAGCCCAAGGATCTGTTGTGAATTGGGTTAAAAAGAAATGAACTAGATTGACTGGGTCATTCAATCGAAAAGGAGCCCCATTTCTGTACTGCTGGGTCTTAAGGGGGCAAATTACAATGGTTGCTCTTCAAGTGGGCTACCACAGCCAGTCCCATTCATATCTGTTTAGCTATCTATAGACATGTGTAATTATGTAATGGAACTCAATAGTTAGCCAGAAACCTGTTCAAAGCTGTAGTAGCTGCTACTTATGGGACTGGTTAAATAATGGGTGGTTGAAAAGGGCTCTGTCTGTGGAAGCACCAGTCAAAGGATGGGCCATATATGTAGAATGCCCTTATTTTAAATTACAGAGTGATCTAGCCAAAGATGAGCCCTTTTAACTGTTACGAGTTGGACCCATATTTAGACTTACATAGAATAGACTCATTGAGATCAATGGGATGTCAGTGTGGTGTAATTGTTAAGAGCATGGAACTGGGACTCGGACGATCTGGGTTCTAGTCCCCACTCAGCCATGGAGCCAACTGGGTGACTTTGGGCCAGTCACAGACTCTCAGCCCAACCTACCTCACAGGGTTGTTGTTGTGGGGATAAGATGGAGGAGGAGAATGATGTAAGCTGCCTTGAGCCCTTTGTAGGAAAAGGCAGGATATAAATTGAAAAATAAATAAAAATAAATAAAATAAATGTCAGTTAGCCCTGACTAAATGAAATCCAATAGATTGCAATGTGTCTATTCTTAAGCTTGACGAAAGCTGGATCAAACTCTATGATTTTCACTGGGATAATTAAGGGCGAAATTCCAACTGAAATAAATGGGAAGAACAGCTCAATCCTATGGATGGCTGCACAAGTCCCACTGCAATGAGTATGCCTTACTCAAATGTAAGGATGGACAGATCACTACTTTAAATGTTTAACTTGGCTTTCTATATTAGTAAAGAGGAATATAAACATATTTATGGACTTTTGTTGGGCAAAAAAAATTCAAAAATTATAAAGTGAAAAACAGATTGTATAGGAGAGATATTGATACACACTATGAACAGCACAGACACAATACCAGAAAAACAAATTTAAGAAATCTCAAACTATCACATAGTAACTACCTATCCATATTGGCTGGAAACAGATTTTTAAGTATTGGTTACAGGTTCCTTCAGTAAATGGTGCAATACTTTGGCCCCTGCTTGCTCGTGCTGTGCCCAAGCATGCATCCAGACAAGGCTTTCATGCTGTCATCATCCTGCCTCATCCATGGAATTTTGCAGAGGGTTCCAGACGACATCACCATACACATGTAATCTCATGTTCTCCCATCTATTTTTTTAATCACATAGATTTGGTTAAGGATAAAAACTGCACAATGCCTTCTAATTGGTAGAGCAGGATGCCTCTACCTGGAAGCACCCTAGCTCATGGTTTTGGATGAACATAGCTATCCACACATCACACCCTTGAACTCTACAGTCTCAATTTGTACTCTGCCTATAGGTAGAGATCTGGAATCTCAGGGCATTGGAATCTCCTTTGCTGGGTTCAGGCAACAACCAGCAAAGTGCTTATGCCCCCTGTTGACTCCCTTACACTCCCCCCATTCCAGTGTGCAAGCACCCCTACTCCTTGTTCAGCCATGATTTAGCACTTCTGGAGGCAACCCAAAGCAAGTGGCAACACTCGTTTCTGGAGGGAGGTGAGTCAGCACAGCTCAGATGAAGGCACTCCCACTAATGTGTCTCCTTCCACAATTGAGTTCTGTGGCTTTCCCTTGAATAAATGGTGGGGCATACTTGCACAATGGAATTGGCAGGACGTACCATCAGTGCAAGGGAATCGGCAGGGTAGAAGGGAATCTGCAGAGGCCTGAGCACCTGGCTAAACTGTCCTTGGAGTGATCTTGTGTTTTGCAACAATACGATCATGCTACGTTGTATTTTTTTAAAGCTAATATGAGATATATCTTTGAAGATATTAGGCCTGATGTACTCTGCACATTTCTTTAATACGTTCATCCAAATATTTCACATGGAACTTGTGGAATTCAACATGCCCATTCTTGTAAAGGTCAATTATTTATGTATCCCTAGAAAGCTGCTAACTTGTCAGTAAAGGTTGTATGTTACAAGGAATAAAACAGACCCTGTAACTGACAGGAATCCAATCACCTTAGCTTTACAGCCAGAATTAGTAGTCCTCTCCCAAAAAATAAGAAAGCCAATACATGATACATTTGAGGAATGACAGGGCATTTTTTCCAAGCATATTTCCAAATATTTCTTACATAGCCACAGTCCAACTACTCTGAAAGAGATGTCAAAGAGTGTTCCTGACACTGAGAATACCTGACATGTGCTTATATGAAATTCTTCCCAAAATAAGAAGCTGTTTGGTGACATTCAAAAGAAAAAAAGCCACAACCTTATCAAGAAAGGAGAAAACCTGTCTTGAGACAAATTAGTTTAATAAAAGAACACTTTTCCATATCACTTTAGACGGTTACATTTCCTATTAAGAAATGACTCTCATAGAGAAAATCCGACTCGCTTCAAGCAATCTTGAATATTTTCCACTTTGATACTGAGCTGAAACAACTCCCCCCGCCATCCCCTCAGCTATCTGTTCCCTAGTTGCAAATTTTAGGAGAATGTGAATGAACATAAAGTATCCTCTGTGTGTGTGTGTGCATGTGTGCCAATGTATAGCAATCACACTACAGGTTGCAGGTGGATGCCTTTTTCTTTTGTTACACTGAAGACTCCAGGTTGAGAGAAAAAACATTGCCTTGATTGATTTGGCTTCATGATAATGATACATTCTAAAGTCATATCAGAGTGCAATTATTTTTATCCTCATCTTGGAAGTCTTCTGGGTAAAAGAATAAATATGGAACCTGGAAATACAGTCCTCCACAAGGCAATGAAATGTGTCACAGTGCAAAGCCTTCCTACCCTGACCCCCCGTGACTACGCTAAATATTTCTAAGAGGTTCTTTTGGATCAGCTCCGATCTAGTTTGCCTGGAGTGTCACTAATGTCTTCTAAGAGAATGAATTAATTCTACATATATAATCATAAATTCCTAAAAACAGAATGAAAAGTTTTGCTAATTCATAGATCCAGTTCACATATAATAGTAATCCATGCTTTATTAACCCATGGGTACTGAATTCTGGATTGTCACCAGAAAGAATCCAAAAACACAAGTCAAATTTGTTGTTGAATTATGAACTCTGGATTGTTTAAACCATAGATTGTCACTGCATGTGAATGCAGATCCATGGTCTTTCACTATGTCTACCAAGGTGTCAGGAAAAAATGATAAAACGTAAACTAATACCAGTATTGAAATGCTACAAAACAATCTGAGGTACATGGAGGCAGTGGGTAAAAAGAGGGAGAAAACAATGCAGGGTTTTTGCAGTCATCTGCCAGACCAACCCTGGGTAGGGCAACAAACCACAAATTAAATAAAGGTATGGGTAAGAATTATGTGTGAAGCAGCTCATTGCCTCATAACTGTTTTCTCCTTGAATATGATTTTTTTCTGAACTATGAGACAACCTTTAGGTGTTTTAGCAATGAGTCTTACAGCACCATAGAAATAAGATGGGTACAGAGTTTGTTATCATCATATAGGTTTGTGTAGATCACCAGATCTTTTCCAAGAATGGTGCAAACTGGATCAGGGGTGTATTAGGTTCATGAACTATTGAAAGATTCCTGTCTTGATCAGGATAAAAATCAAGTTCTGTGGACAATGCAGTAGCATACTCTACTGCCAGAATGGTTATGGATAGACAGACACAGTATTTTTAAAGAAATAATGGAGATTTCAGTTTTCTTCAGTGACAGATTATGATGCAATTCTTCAGTGTGATGCTATTAACAGTTACCACTGTGCAATTAATCTGATTTGGATTTATATCATTTGGTAGAAAAAAAGGATATCACATGAATTCTAACACTCATCAGTTTCATTAAAATACATAGATTCTGCAAACATTGCTAGGGTACTTTTTATGATGCAATCTATGTGATGAATACATACAAAAACAATACAGTTAAATACAGCTTCTAGGGCAGTATTTTCAACATAAAGTACCTCTATATACACATGCAAAAATGTCTACATTATAGCCCTATTACATGATGGGGGCCTGAGGTCACAAAGAGCTGCATGGTTTTTTAGATATACATGCACATTTATATTTTGAGCCAATGCAAGATTTGGGGTATCCAATTTAGGTATATACTTTAAAAAATCCAATTGCTTTTTTGTGCCAACTGAAACCTGATTTCTAACATTTATAATGGATAGTATCCTCTAGAATAGCAAATTCAATACAAACCACACTAGTGTTGTTTGTTACCATTACAAAGCCTGCTATCAAATGCAGATAGTGGTTTTGTGAGGTACAACACATACTGAACACACACACAAAAGGAAAAATAATTAGCAACCATATATACATACCCAAAACATCTGGAAAGGGAGGGCATTAATGAAGCAAAGAATGGAAAAACCCAAGATAATCAGGTTCTTGTCCAAAGCATACAGAATGAGATAAGGTTACAACAAGAGCAGCTAGAAATGTAACATACATGGGAACAAACAAGAAAAAAGGTTTGGGTTCTTCAGAATGACAAAGAAATGAAGCAAAAGCCATAGATTTGGTACAGTAGCTCATTCAGATGTCATGTACACACAAAGGCACATATATGGCTACTGAGTTTTAAACATGTGTTCTGTGGAGACCCTCCTTTCTCAAAGTAATAAAATTCCAAAAAATGTTTTAAGACCCTGTTGATCTACAGCATATTTGCAGTCAATGTAAAAAAAATACAGAACAAGCAGGGCAATTTATTCGGCAACAAGAGCAGTATCAGCAACAGTTAACCTGTGTTAATGTTCATTAAACTGGCATGTATGACATAGCTGGTAAACATTTATGTTCAGAACTGTTTACCATAACCAAACCTTGAGCCTCTAATTTCTTGAAGTAAGTCTGAAATACATTTTCCAGGTATAAGACAATAACGGTGGTTGCTGGCCAGTGATCTGAGGGCATATGATGGGGTTACTTTGCTGATGTTGAACAGACCTGGTTCTGACCAGGGCCTGGCCGTTTGACCACCTCAGAATACCACGAGCTCCATAAGGGAAGAAATACAAGCTATAAGTTAGCTACATAAATAATAGCATAATAAACATGGGCAAAAATTGCTATACCTTTTGAGTAAATTGGATCTTTCAGAAGAGGGTAATTCTTCTAAAAGTGGGTGACAGTAAAACTACTAAATAAACTAGCAAGACCATAAGTAGTTGTATATTGCATTGGAGAAGGTAGAGAGCATATGGATGAGCAAAGCAACTACAACAAAATACAAAGAAAGAACCAGCAGGAGAACAAAATACCAAAGCTGTATAGCTGCAAGAGGAGACTGTGATTATTGGCAGACATTAGTTATATCATGAGAGGGATTTATGCATCTATACAGCTAAAATATTCGCTGTGCTGGCCCTGTATGTGGAGTGAGACTGAATCATCCCCTTTTTAGAGAAAGAAAATGAAGCTTTTGACATTTTGGATTTTTATCATTAGCAACAATTTGTAGTCTTATCACTTCATACACTTACCTAAACTTGACCTTGTATTGGATCGTTCTATTATCGCATGCTTGCTGGGATTGTTTAATACTGAGCGTTTGGCAAGCGAGATGTCTGCTGTGACCCGTGTGATCGATATACTGAGCAAAAAAAAAAAAAAAAGGAGATGAAAATACACACATGGCAAAACAACCACTTCAGTAGCAAATACACACATTTTGCAAGTGTACTGCTTTACCCGGGACTGTCAGAACAAAAACACTGAGCAACTTTTGACTCGAAAAGATAGCACATCTGAAATATACTGAGCTTATATGTTGTTGTTTTTAATTTTTGAGACTTCAAGCAGTATCCAGTAGTAACCATCAGGTATTGCTCTATTTCTGGGCAGACTTGCTCAACAGAAGCGCCACATATGGTAAATGTTAGATGTTTGAGAGCTGCAAGTTTTGTGGACATGACAACAAGTGCAAGCTGTAACAGGGCTCAAATGGCTCCTAAGCCCCCTCCCCCATAACAGCTCCATCACCTTCTATTCTTTTTACCAAGTTAACCTTATCCTGTGGCCAGGAAAGCACACTAGCCATTGATTAGGTATCAGACCTAATTACCTGGGGCTTAATAGATACTGCTCCCCCCCCCCACACACACACACACTCATGCAAATATTCATTGCCCAAATTTTGAGGTCAGCTCAGAATATGTTTGGTGGCTTCCAAACTCAGTCCACTGTGTTGTTAGCTGTGAAGTCGTGTCCGACCCATCGCGACCCCATGGACAACATTCCTCCAGGCCCTCCTGCCCTCCACCATCCCCCGGAGTCCACTTAAGCTCACACCAACTGCTTCAGTGACTCCATCTAGCCACCTCATTCTCTGCCACCCCCTTCTTCTTTTGCCATCTATTGTCCCCAGCATTAGGCTCTTCTCCAGTGAGTCCTTCCTTCTCATTAGGTGGCCAAAGTATTTGAGTTTCATCTTCAGTATCTAGCCTTCTAAAGCCCACTGTAAATAGCCATTATTTTCTTTACAGAAAAATAGCTTTTGCTTTGTCGGTATGCAGCACACAATTAAAAGTACATAACAACATGCTATCATATTTGATCACAAGAGAAGAGCAGCTGTGAATCTAGATGGTGAAAATTTCATAAGCACTTCCTAATGAGAGTGTGTTACTGCACACAAGAGCACCCAAAGCAATCAACAAAATATTGTCTCCTTCAGAGTTTGGGAATAAATGAAGCCTTTTACCACCATACCGTTCTCTACATTAAGGCTCTATGGTGAGAGAATTTGATTTCAATTGAATAAACTTTAGCAGACACCATACAACTTAGCTACTGGGTACATGATTGAAAGTATCTGTGTAACACAGACTTACAACTAGTGGAAAGGGCCTTAAGTACCAGCTATTTCTATATTCATGATCCTGCTGGTCAAGATTTGTAACTGAGATGCTTCTCCAAGTGTCCCACAGTTCAAGGTTAGCATGGACGTGAACGGTGAAAGGGTCTTTTCCACAGCAGCTCTCCAACTCCGTGATGCTGTTCTTCAAATGCTCATCTGAATCTTGGTTGATTATGATTTATCCACTAGGCCAAGTCCTTTCAGTTTGCCAGTATTTTACTGTTTAACTGACTTGTGCTGTTTTAAAAATGTTCTACTGCCTCTTTGTGAGTTTTACTTCTAACGCTGGTTTTACCTGTTTAATTTCTTTTTTGTTTGTTTTAACAATTGCGAGTCAAATCAATATTTTTTGAAAAGGCAACGTAATAAATAAATAGTAATTTTTGAGTAATAGTCAATTATGGGAAATGACAAGTTTAGGGCTGACCAATGTTTTTGCTAAATTGCTTACATGATAGTTTAAGAAAATAGGAGTGCAATTTTTGCAAACAACAGAAAAAGAAAAAAGACACTTCACAGATGAGAAGCAAGTTGACTACATGAAGGTACTTTACATAACCATTAAGCAATTCTTCTGATTGTGACCTTAGTAAAAATGCTTCAAGGATATAAACAAACCTGGAAGAACTTAAAAGAGAACGATAACAATAGAAAATCAGGTCGACTCAGGAATTTATTACCAGGTAAAAAGTGTATAGCTACTTTAACAGATGGACAGAGGTCACATACTTCTAAGGCCCAAAATAAAGGTAATCATGCGATTTTTAAATTTATTTGTAGGTTTTGTTATGTGTGTGTGGGGGGGATGCTAGATAGAGTATGGGTTTAAAAGGATTGATGTAGGAAGATCCCCAGCAGATCAGAACAAAGGTCTATTGAGTGAGTTATTCTACTCCCCTCAGTAGCAAACCCTGCGCCTATGAGAAATTTACAAGTAGGACAAGAGAGCATCTACTCTCAGTTCTTTTTCTCATTCATGGACGAGGAGCAAAGTAGTCTATCTAGGCACATGAACATTGCTGTTATACAAACAGCAATTGTGAAGAAGTTTAAGTAGTGTCAGGACTATCCATGGTGTTAAAGTCTTTTTTTCCTCACCATGGTTCCAACAAAACTAAAGCTGCTATCAGCCAACAAAATTTCTTTAGAAACATGAATAACAGCTTCAGAAAGTTGCAAACAACCACAGTCCTTTGATGAGCTCCATGCAAGTTTCTGCCAAAACAAATGTATTATAATTTAAAATTTCACAGAACTCTGTTGTTTTTGCTAATTAATTTGTAATCTGGGAGAAATAGGCTTTGGGCAAAATTGAGGAAGGAGGGACAATATATGTTTCATTCAGACTGAAGTGTGCAACTTTAAGGGCCTACTCCTATATATGTTTAGAAAGAAAGAAAAAGTCCTACTATTCATAGATTTCCCCAGGCAGTATGGCTGACTGGGTAATTCTGGGAATTGTAGGAACTTCTGTTTAAACCTGCATCTGATTGCACCATAATCATTGATGTTAATCTAGATTCTTTAGTACTTACCGCCCTTCAAATCTATGTTTTAAAAAATCAAATAATGCTTTTTGCATCATATCTGTCACCTGAAAGTAAAACAGAAAAACATTCATGCGCTTGGGTACAAACTGATGTAAGATTTGTTAATTACTTATTTCAATTTATAAAGCAAATAGAATTGTTCTTATTAATGAAACTGGGGATAACATATAATTTAATGCATTTTGGCAATACCAAAATATTTTAGCAAATCATAATTTCAGTTAGAAAAGGAAAATATTATTCTAATTAGTTGTGGAATAGCAATTAGAGTTTTAGGCTAAGCTTGGGGAAAACCAGGTTCAAATCCCAGTTTAGCCACATAGTTCGCTGGGTGACCTTCAACCACTTATTCCTTCATCCAACTTACTAATTGTGAGCTTAACAGAGAAGGACTATACACATCACCTTGAGATTGATGGAAAAAAGGAAGGATATAAATGCAATATAATAATTATTGTAATAATTACAATCATAATTCTAATAGCAAACAAGCAATAAATATTTGTCCTCTTTTTCTCTCCTAGTTCCTCATAGAAGAAAAGTAGCATAGTTTTGAACAAAATTGGAGATGTTCATAAGGACTTTCTTTTACCTCATATCCCTTTAAGGAAGGCCCCACTAAGACTACTGGTCGCATAGAAGGCACTACATCATACGGAGGGATGTGCTCTGTCTGATAAAGGAAAAGAATGCTCTCAACACCTGTTTTTTACACGATGGCTAATTCTTCATACACATGCACACGCACACCCCACCCCCTCTCATGGAATTCTCAGTGATGTCACCAAAGGGCAAATCTGAAATGCATTTCCTCCCCAAAAAAACCTTTCATGAAATACTCTAAAATTACGAAAAAGACTATCTGGAAAAAAGTTTTGAAACTGTTTCTATCCAACCTAATTTTCATAACATGTTTAAATTATATTCTGTAATGGAACCATTGCTCAGGAATGCCAACACTTAACTTTAATGGCAAAATGGCCGCTACTCTGAAAATGTGGTGAATACACTGTATCTACAGAGTTCTATTGTCAGCAGCTTCTGATATCCAGAAAATACATTTAAAGCAGTGGTAAAATCTAAGAATATCATTCAAGAGTAGGGATAAGTGGCAAACAGAGGGGAAGATTGATTAGCTTTCATTTTAAAAAATTAAAATTAAACTATAATTACACTATTTTGAATTGTCATTGATTGCATGACAGTTTTCATTCAACCCATATTTTCAAATCTCTTCATTTGCACAACTGGTATATGAATTTACAACTGTGATTTTGTTCGTAATTGATAAATGCTACATAAACAGAATCCAGGACAGGTTATCCTTTTCTAGAAGATTCTAAAAACTCAAAAGTGGTCCATGGTTTCATAAATTACTTGCTTGATGTGTCATACAGAATTTATGAATGGATAATTTAATGTATAAAATCTGTCATACAATTCTAAACAAATATGATAAAAATTGATTTTCTGTGGTCTTGATAATATATTAAGCCGCAAAAAGTGGCTTATTTAAAAACATGAAGCTAGCAGAGGGCAAAATGTTTCAAATTTAAAACCACCGACCTGGAAAAGGCTTAAAAGTGGACTTGCCAAATCAAGGGCCTACACAGTGCAAATACATCAGTCAACATCACAGAATGTTGTCATTTTTCATTATTGTAATACTCAGCATGTCCCAGGAGTGTAACCACAGTAAAAGCAATAAAGTAGAATACACACGTAAGAAAACAGAGACAAACATTAATACAGCAACAGCACAAAATGCCACAGAAGCAGCAGTCTAAAACATGAAGTACACACTGGTGTCAGGGTTTGCTTTTGTTCACATGTAAATTCATAACAAAAAGAATGATGTACAGTGAGTGCCAAGGCATTAAAAGCATATGAACTTAAGTGCCTCATCTCACTTACTGCTTACAAACAACACCTCTATGTCTTTTGTCTAATTATGAAAGTACACTCTTAGAATTAGATAACTCGTTGCACACAGTACTGTAGCAGCCTGTAAGAATTATGTTAGGATCCTCTTATATTTTGCATATCAATGCCCTGCTGTAATATATTTATGTCTTATTCTGTTTCCCTACAGAAGCCTTGCACTAATCATAACCCTTGAAAATTAGGGTAGGTACAGATATTACCTTATTTGATGGAATACTGGTACTTAACTAAATTCAACTGTATGCCAGCCTTCAGCTTTTCCCAGCTCAAAAGAATTATGCTGTCAGTGGCAATATGTTATGGGACTGAAATGGGCTACAAGAACCTTTCACCTCTGTACTATTATTTCAAATTCACTCCACAAAGCTAGGTGATATTTTCATTGGATCACTATGTGTTGAGTGTTCCGATGAATTAATCAGAGTGTCCATCCAGATTATGGTGAGCAAATGTCAAAATAAGACAAGAATGATAGCTGTACTTTACCATTTGGTTGGGTTTTTCAGAATTCTGTCTTATAAAAGTCAGTCTTAAGAATGAAAACTAATTCAGAACTGAGAAATGGTCTTCCATTATTGATAAAAGCTTAGCCCAGTAGAAAGAAAGAACTGGATCATATTTAAAAGAAAAATATATATGCAATCACAGTGATGATTAATTTTAAAGCTATTCATTGGTTCAATTTATATCCAGCCTTTCTGGACCCCCCTCCCCCTCCCCCATTGGTTTTATCACTCTGCAAAGTAGTTGCCAAATTAACTATTGTATTGATAAAAGAAAATAATGGCGGCAAGCAAGGGAATTTTTTTAATGTAAAGGAAGAATTTAATATGCTTTGGAGAAGTCTGGACAGTCATGAAAGTATGGGATTTATTATGTCATTGAGCATAGACCACACCAGCAAAACAAGGGCTCCTGGAACATTATGCATATATGAAGCTATCTATGCAGTGTGCATCTACATTTAATTTTTTTTTAAAAAAAAGAATACTTCTGTAAAAAATAGGGATATGAATAGTTAGCTTTACTCTCCAATTGCTTACACTGGCTGATAAATAAGAAATTCTATGTAACTTTTTAGGAGCATCTTGTAGTTCCCAGGTAAGGGATGAAAAGAGCATGACAATACATCACATTTGTCAGCCTCCCTACGGAGTAGCTTTGACTATGAAGGGAGAGCCACTGGTTCCGTTTTCTAATAGGCAAGATGCTACAGTCTGACTGCTGGAGGAGAAGGCAAGAACAATGGGAAATAATTTATATATGACAATAGGAAAAACTCACAGTAGACCGCCAAAACAAGTATGCAGTTTTCCACTGGTCTTGCTCATCTGCAGATTTTGCACCTAGTGGATTAGAAGTTTAAATACTGACTAAATTAAAAATTGAAAGTTCTTTTTAAAGAACAAGATGAGTATCTGTTTAGAGTTAACAAAAATGAATTATAAGACTGAATTACACGTAAAAAAAAAATCTGGAGAAATGACAATAAGCATGCACTAGAAAGGTGCATTATCTTGTCTTGTTAAGTTTTTACTTCAGTGGATGTTTAAAGAAATTCCCTTGGCAGCCTATTATTCCATCAAAAAGGAAAAGTACCATAAGCAACATCTAACTGAGTCACTCACAGGGCCTAGTGTGCTTGTTTTCATTCTTTTGGATCAGCTAGCAGTTGATAAGTTAGTTCCTTTTGTCTAAAATAAGTGGATTATATAAACTGTAGGTGATGATGCTAATGATGCCAGTGGCAGAGTAAAAACAGCTTGTGTCAGCATAAACTTACCGATTTCTGCTTCTGCTTAGCTACAGCAGCATGGAAAAGAAACAAAGAATAACAAAAGCATGCATGTTATTGGCTTGTCAAAGGACGCAGACAGTCAACAGGACTCAAAATGTGACGCAGTGCAGGTGAGCAGGTGTACAGATGGCAGCTCGGAAGTAGGTGTTACCTTCTTAAAAAATGGCATTCTTTTCTCTTTGGAGTGGGGTGATGTAACACTGTTTGCAGTGGGTTTGGGGGAGCGATGATTTGCTGGAATATCAATTTCTTCTGCATCTAAACCAGTGGCATCTATGTCTATAGCTATATGTAGATAAACAATGTAAAATTATCAGATGGCCGGGAGAGGAGAGATAAGTTAAAAGAAACATGAAGCAACAGTATGTCAGGTCAGACGTGTATCAGGAATAGCAAACAGAATAGAAACAAAAGGAGGAAATTTAAATGTACAACACACTAGGATTTTAAAAAACATCTCAAAGTAAGGCAATGGGTGTCAATTGCAAATTACATAAAATTATGAGGTATGTAATTTTTGTTTAGGGCCCTTTAAGGTACAATTGGGTATTTTTGTCAATATACTGATTCCACAATCAACTTCTCAAAATTAGCGGCATAGGCTGGGCTCTAGGAAACCTTCTCACTCCAGTAGCATAAATTAACAAATGACAACAGGAAACCTAACACAGAATTCTGCCCTGGGTTCTTTATCATTTGTTTTAGAAGTGCTCAAAACCCACTAATGGGCCATGGAAACCATATGAATGAATAATAATGCTAGGCAATTCATTAGCGATAAGGAATTCATCACAGGAGCTTTGGCTTCTGGGTCAGGTTTGGAACCAATAATACCACATACAGAAAATCTTAACTATAACAAAAGTAAGTAAGCATTTCAAACCTGTAGGAAACGAAATCTGTTTTATACAGTTTCATTTTTAAATATTTTCAGTCATACTTATCTCCAGTTATGTGAGAGATTTGATACAGTTATCTAGCTTTTCAGCTGAATTTGCACTAATTGTCTTTATTTATTTACAAGTGGCAAATAAACAGAGGATTGATTCATAATACATAAACTTTTGCACTGGAGGAACAGAAGAAAGCAGAGGAGGAAGTAAAGTCCATTCTTGTCATTGCGGAACAAGTGTTGACTGGAAAAGGGTTTGCTAAAATATGGGACTATGTAGGAAGTGTTAGAGGTGGAATAAAAAGGAAAGCATTAAAGATGTTCTACACTCTGAAGCATTAAAATATACAGCAGAAATACATAACATTTTCTGAGCTCTCTGCACTTAAAATCACATCATGTTGGTCACGTACCTACTGCACCATTGGTGTCTGAATACCACTCCTACTACTACTGTTACCAAGACTAGCAGTAGAACTTTGCATTCATTGATTTAGAAACTGTGACTGATGGCCATGCTGCTGAATGCCTACAATGCAGGCACACGTGTGTTTGAGTCTTTAGAACTTCTGGATCTCCTTTTCTCCACCTGATCGATATCTGAAGCAAGTTCATTCCTTTTAAGATTGACCAGCAGAATGTTGGTTTTTTTTTTTTAACTTCTCATGTTTTGCAGAGTTTTATGAGTCCTGTTTGGCTCTTTAAAAACTTGCTGCAGGTGGCAGTGCTTTTTTAAGTTTTTACTGCAGTCAGTTATTTAGTTGAACAGGCAAGGAAAATTTAAGTAGGAAGGCGGCTAGCCCATTCTGTTAGGTAACTGGTTGTAGGAAAACTTCCAAGACACCTCTGGCTAGACATGCATTCCCTGAACTTGCCTAAAAATCTGGCTGTAGCAGACTAGTCTTCCAAAGTCACCACAACTTATTGAAGAAAAACAGCACTGTCATGAAATGCTATTAAATATAACAACTTTTTCAAGAACAGCCATACCATAAACACACCTTTAAAGTCACATTTCAGAAGCAAATTTTGCAAATGAAATATTTAATGTGGGTGAATATGAAATATGGGCTCCCCCAACCTCAACATGTATGAATAAGCTGCCCAGTTGTTAGAACACGCACTTGACCAAATATAGGGAACCAATCATAAAGCACTTTCAAGCATTTCCTCAAAATCGTTATCTGATTCCACCTTATGAGATTGTTGGTAAATACAATATACAAACATTAACTTTTCAAAATACTACAAAAATACTAAATCGTGGGGAGTCTGTAGCGGGGCTGCTAAGCCTCTGATAGTTCCCTTATGCTCACAGGAGCAACCACTCAGAAAACAAAGCATTAATGCTCCTTTAACTTCCACAGAACAGAACAGAACAGAACAGAACAGAACAGCCTTTTCCAGATTGAGGCAGGCAAATGGAACTCATTCTTAATTCCTTTTAGAAATGTGAAAGCTCCATTGCACAAGTACTCCATCCCATGAACACAAAGGTGCCATGGGATAAAGCTCTTCCACATCAGCTGCTCATTAATGTTATTCTCCTTTCCCCATAAACTTTACCAAATTAAATAACATACAACCATTTTCTTATTTTGTTAAATAAACACTCCTTTCCACCCACTCCTGAAATATATAGATTTCTTTTAACCAAAAAAAAAAAAAAAAAAAAAAAAAAAACCCAAAACCCAAACCTTTAAAAGTTGCTTGTGACAGCTAGAAAATAAATTAGACTAATTTTGGAGGATGAAGCCATCAATGGCAAGTAGTCAAGGATGACTATATATTACCGTCTGGTCAGACCAGGTGACAGCAGACAGCAGTGCTGGGCTACCATACATACTTGACATCAGGAGAGCCCAGCTAGATCTGGCCAAGGGTCTCCCTAGTCCAGCAGTCTATTTCCACAGTGGCCAAACAGGTGGCACTGGGAAGCCTATGAACAGGGCATGCGGACAACAGCCTTTTCCTCCTGTTATATCCCAGCAACTGCCATTCAGAGGAACAGTGCCTGTTGGAACATTTACTAGTAGTCATTGATAGCTTGTTCTCCATGAATTTATTTATTTAACCTCCTTTTAAAGCCATGGAACTTGATGGCCATCCCAACCCTTGCAGTAGCAAATATCTTAGGATAACTACACTTTGGATAAGAACTTAATGGGCTTTATGAGAACACCATGCCTCTTATGGCTGGTGCTGGTGTAATTATAGTGGGCCATGGAGAATGCTATTTTCAGCTATAGGCTCCTGTTGGTTTTATCAGCCTTGCAAAAATATCAACTGATGGATAATACGGTCTAGTTACTCAGACTCTGCTTCAGAAAAGTACAGACCCCTGACTGATACCAATGTTACTTTAACAAAGGGTTAGACAACTCATGCCCCCACCCCCGTCTTGTCTGCAGCCCATGCTGCCGCCAAAATTTGGAGACAGAGTGGTGGCTAGTGGAGCAGGAGAGAGAAAGCATCATTTTTAAAATGTGTAGTTTCTTACTGAAATCAGCCACATGGAAAAAAGGGAATTTTGTTAAAGTAAAATGGCCCCTTCTCCCCATGACTATGCCGATTTTGGCAGCATACTCGGCGTGTGAACAGGGGTGAAGTTTCTGGGGTGGGAGGTAATGCAGCTCACCTCTGCTCTTACACAAACATGTTAGTTTTGTCCCGTTCTTCCTTTCCAGCATTTACATGAATAATCCTTACTAAAATTATCCATAGCATGAACCTGTGAATGAATTAATTTTTAAAGAGGTGAATAACTTGACACCTCATCAAAATGGGGAGTTGTCACTTCAATAAGAACTGTAAGATGCAAAGGCAGTAATTACACAGAAAGAGGGATGACCCACTTACCAGATGATGGAGGTGTAGACTTTCTGGAACTAGGTACCACGTCACCCAAACTGGATGATGAATTTCCTCCTGATTTACTAGAGCAAAGTAAATATACATTCTTCTTACTACCACATATATTTACTTGCATCAGTGCCAACAGAGAACAAGGGAGTTTTCCTTGCATGCATACAGATTCTTATAGCTTACGGAAATCACATGAAAAATCTGAAAATAGAATTTATATAGGGCCTTCTAATTTTCTCAATGCTCAGCTTTTAATGTGGCCATTTTTACATGTATATAGCAGTTTTAAGTAAACAATATTTCTAAAGACAAGTCCTTACCTGTATTTTTTACTTTCCATCTATGCACTGAGGTGTGTGGCTTCTACGTCTGCACTGAGACTTCTCTGGAAACCTTCTGGAGCAGGAGTAGGCAAGTTGTGGCCCTCCATCAGGCCTAGCCAGAATAGCCAGTAAGAGAGCTGATGAGAGTTGCAGCCCAGTAACAGATGGAGGGCCACAACAGGCTCACACCTAGAATCTGAAGTAGGAAGCTAACCAGAAGAATTGTACCTTTCCATGCGTGCTTTGATGAGAGGTGTCCTACATTCCAGTGCTATCTCTTTTAAGATTGCTATGAGACTGGCAGTTGGAATTGCCCCTGGTTTGAAAATTTACAAAACAGACATTTTCTTTTGGATAAAGTGGGCTGATCTTGCTCATTTACTACTTGTTAATGAGGAGTCAAAAGGAATGTGGGAAAGGATTAACTATAATAGAAAATATCTCTATAAAATGTATACATTTAAGACATGGAAAAGTCATCTGGCACAGACATAACTGAGCAAAATTGATCAAGGAGATAGATGTCATATTGATAGATAAACACAGTCATATGAACTGCAGTGTCATTAGGAAGTGAGTTCTCAGACTGGATGTCCAAAGCCCTGTCACAGCAAGAGCCAGGCAAAAAGGACAAGAACAGCCTCAGTTCCTCCAGTGTTGTTTCATCCTATGACATAGTTTTTAATGGCTATCACAAGCATCTACTATTGTGAAATGGCTGTAAGTGAAATAATATCAGATTGCAATAAAATGACTTAAGTTTGAAAATTCTATTATGTGTTTGAAGGAAGAGAGACAGCAAGTAGCAGCAGCTCCTGTAAGAGCTAAGGAAAGGAGAACAATGCTCACAGAAATTCAGTGACTCTTAGTTTCTACATATGTGGAAAAATGCAAATCAAAATGACCCATTCAAACTTTATTTATTCCCAGGTTTCCTCTGCAGAGAGTGATTTGGGACAGGCTGTGGCTTTTTTTTTTTACATTAAATCTGTCACCCTGAATGTGACCTAAGCATTGGCTTCTGCCCTCACTGCCCACTGACCCCTCAGCACGGACTCTTAACATCTGAATCAGGCAGACCTTAGGTTTACATGAAAATGCTTATTGTCTCCTTTGGCGAGAAGCAGGAGAGAGCTTGTGTTCCCAGTCTTTCTGTCTATGGTACTTCAGCCTAGAGTTAGCCTAAATAATCCCTTTTAAACAACTCTAGAAAGTGGAATATATTTTGTCAGTTTCTCTCAATATTATGCCACAATATTACCATGTCACTAGTAATGAAGATTTTACATATGGTTTTAAACAGGCCAAACACAACAGTGACATTAATGTATGAAAAATACCATAACTTCTAGTAGAGCTTGACCAAGAGTATTAAATTAGAAAGGGAAATGGAGAAGTAAGAGAAGAACAGTATTTTAGATAGAAATAAAATCATAGCCACAGATTACTTGTGAATACAGCACTCACATGGTAAAGGAGAGGGACCATATCCCTGCCTCCCTGAGCTAGCTCCATTCTCTGATGTTCTGAGCAATCCAAAGGAACTCCTTTGCATAGGGGTTGCGAGCTGTTACAACCCTACACATGAGGAACTGCTCATGTTGCAAAAAACTGGAGTTCCTTTGTTGTTGGCTGCACTTGTTGTGCGGGGCTCAAAACACACCACTGCTTCTTTATTACCTCACGCATGCCCTACACACAAGTAATGCACATATAGGGCTTAACAATCCCAAGATTTTTACTCATCTTTTTCAAAATTATTTACTTTCAACAAGTATCTTAATTCAACAGCATTCAAAAAAATCAGTCAAATTCATCTGTGCTATATCAACATCTAGTGCTGTATAAGAATTCCACAGGAACTATATTTTTATTACCTGGAGTAGAATTTTCCTTGCTTTGCCTTTTGTTCATGCTGCAGCCTCATATTTTCTAATTTGACTGGACTTGGTATGAATCCAATTTCACAACCTTCTTTTACCAAGCGTCCTATCCACCAGTCATTATTAAATTTCTAAAGAAAAAAAAAGATGCATGTATTCTAGTATGTCATGTATAAAAAAAGCCCATTGCCAACCTATTTTTCCCTTCCTTATGTACCATAATACTATGCTAGTGCTATAACAGTTAGTAGATAATTTCCAGCACAATACTGTACATGTCTACTCAGAGGTAAGGCCCACTGAGTTCAATAAGGCTTACTTCCAGATAAATCTGTACAGGACTGCACCCTTATTTACATAATGACTATATGCATGATGCACGGTGAGGCTATGACATACAGAAGTTCTGTGCTGATGCCATTATGAATGCGCAAGCCCAGCTCAGAGGCTGTCATGTCATGCAAACCTGGTAAAGATGGGTTGCTTAACTTTGCAAAGTTGAACAAGTCATAATGAGCTGTCCAAACCCAGCCATTTTTCTGGGTCCTGATTTAAATGACTACAACTGGCCAGACTGAGGTAGACTGACCATGCCCTCTCCATTTAGCAGCAACCGGAGGGTCAAGGGATTGTGATGAATGAGGCAAGTTGTGATGCAGGGGAGAAAGGCAAATCCCTGAAAACCTTGAGGGGTCACAGCACAGCAGAACACTTCTGTCCACACAGGGCAGGTCCTAGACCCACGCCACCGAAGTTTAAGCTACATATCCAGTCACTATAAAGTAGTTAATTTGGATTGTATTTGAGCCTCTGCATAAATTTCCACAAAAACAAAGTAAACATAAAGCTATAGGCATGTGCGCATGTTCATCGAGAGTGATTTGACATTTGCAACAGTATTTCATAGTTTAATCCTTAATCAAAATGAGTAATAGTGTGGTTGAGTCTAAAAACTAGGGTAAGCAGGTTATAACCCAGCAAACTGCACTGTCACCTTAAGTTCTTGGAGAAGCATATTATAGGCAAGGATTTATTCTTCTCCCAGTAATCTCTACTGTACTGCTGCTATCTGACCTAGCACTATAATGTGTTGTAACTGAAAGATTCTAGGTATGCCACAGAGTAGGTGGCCATAAGAAGTGAAACAAACAACAAAACGGAGGAAGGAATGTATGGTAGAAGTTGTGGCTTTTCTCCCTGCTGGAACTTTAGGAATATATGGTGTGCATCTCCAGATGGTAACCTAGAAATTCTGTTTTAAATTAACATTGATATATTTGTATGACCTGTGGCTGCCAAGCAAAATATGGATATGGATCCAATCTAGCCATAGGATACAATCCTACTGTGGTGATCATAAGTCTTTGAACTCAGAGGTTTATGCTAGCCCTAAGCAGGAGGTAGGAAAGCTGCTAGACAAGCTTTCTTGCCTGCCAAGCAAAAGCATTTCCAGGAGGCTGGAGAAGCCCCAGGATAGCTCACATCCTTCCCTCCCTGACCACCAAAATGCCCCTCTTCCTCCTCTCCAAGGTGGCATTCCTGATTTCAAGGATGCAGGCAGCATAGTTCTTCCCATGCCAGTTGCAGGGCGACAGGGGCAGGCAGATCATGGATACCATCCTCTGATGATGGAGTGCTTGTCTTCAGCCTCACACCTGGGAATCTGAAATATCCTGTGGCCCCTCAGACAGTGTCTAGGAGCCACAGCATGGCTCACTTACATGCAACTTATTGTCATTAATCTTCACAGACATATGCAATGAGACTTATGTATACAGTATTTCATTTTGGCTGGACTGCATATCATATTTTCTAAGTACTATACTACAATTTTTAAACAATTAGTCAAACTAACTGAAGTACCAAAAACTGATCCAGGTGGACTTAGTTCAAGTTATCTCACCAAATACTTTTAGAGCTACCCACATATTTGCAGAAAGCGGGGGGTCTGTAATTGGAAACAGAATAGTTGCAGTTGGAAGTATGGGGCTACATTTTCACGCTTGCCCCTACTGCATTTCTCACAACAGTCTTGGAGTCTCACCATAAGGCCAAAGGTTGAGGGAAGTGGCTTGTGGGCAAAACTGGCAGGCAGGAGAAAGAAAGGAACAGCACCTCATCTTGCCGGCTCCTTCTCCAGTGTGCAATGCTACCATATTCTAGTATTTATCTGATACTGCATATCATGTTTTGTTTTATATGTATTATACAGAAATTGTTACATAAAATATTTGGTGCTTTGTTTACATTTCAAAACACACACAGAATTAACCATTCTTATTTGAATCATTCTCTTATGAGTAGATATTCAAAGTTTATGGAAGGTTCTTGTTGAATAAACTTAAAGCTGGGAGTTAAGGAAAGATGAAGAGCAGGCTGGAAAGGTTCAGACTACTTTAGATTGTAAGGAAGGAAAAGCAGATCATCAGAAACAAAATGTTTGAGGTAAATTGTTGTGAAAGCTCATGTAAGCTCAGACAGTTCAGTATGCATTATCTGCCTCTGTAAAGGTAAACTGCAGAAGCAGAGAAGGTACAGCAGCTCAGCGATGAAGCATACGCTTTACAAAAGCAATTACATGGCATCTTGAATTACTGTCAGAAAGAGGAGAAAAACAACTACCTACTGCTTCCTTGACAATTGAGGGTGAAGGCACCCATCATTTAAATGGAAGTGAGATGCATTCTCTGAGACACCCACCCCCAACACATGCACCAGAAGTTATGGGTGGACATATATTCTCAACCCCATTTTTGTTCCAGTTGTCTTATGAATACTGAATCCATAAACCACGTTTTAAATCCCCCACAGAATGTCAGTCTTGCAAGATGGAGAAAGGCAATTTGAGAAAACCCAGGATTCAGATATACCACTGCTACCATATGTAAGACATGATGGGGTTGCATCCAGGGGATATAAAGCCACAAAACATAATTGAGGATGGTAAGTCAGGCAACCGCTGATGCAATTGTAGTACAGCCTTTCTTACTTCTTTAACATGTAGGAAATCCTTTGCTTCGAATGAGATGGCCATGCCTGGAACTGGTACATCATCATCATGGGCTGCACTGTAGCTAACATTTGTCCGGACTGCAAATGCAACAGGTTTTGTCTGTGGAGCAAAATGAGAAAAGGAGGGTTTATACTTTCCTCATCGATTGCTGTTGCTCTTTTTCTTATACTCTTTGAGGCAAAACCTTGTCAAGACAACTTAAAAAGTAACATTTTAAAACAATCAACTATAAAACACAGTCAACTAAAACAACAGCAGAAAGACCACGAAGAAGAACATTTTAAAATAATAATATTAAAGCTTAAGAAATAAAAAGGGGCATTCGTTAACTTAATAATAGGCTGAAATATCCGGGTCTTAAATTCTCCTTTAATAACAGTCAGGAAGGGGGCATGTGGGTATTCCATGGAAGAGCACTGGAAAGGTTCCAGCCACTAGAGTAGAGTCCCAAGCTTTTGTGTGTGCCAAGCTTATAGACCTTACTAGCAGGCATTAATATTATTATTACATTTCTATACTGTCCATAGCTGAAGCTCTCTGGGGGGTTTACAACAATAATCACAATCATACACATACAAGATGTTGTCCAAATTGGTTACTATATGAAGTCAACACTCCTGCTGACAGATGGATCTGTGATGATGGTCCATTTTATTCCCCTTCCTTATGTGCACCTTGCATTCAAGGTGCATCTTCCCTAACTGAAAGGATAACGAAAGGATTGTGGTATGTAAAATCAGCAGTCTAAAAACGACGCATGCATTTAGAAATATTCTGGCAACTCCCTTGGTATCAGTTTAATAACACCTAGGGACTTTCAGTGTTTCATATTAAACAGCTGATTGCCACCCAAGGGAAAAAAGAGGAGTCTTTCAAAAGAAGTTTTCAGAAAATCTTTTGAAATGAGATGTTAACCTAAATATAGGCACCACTGTATATGTGTTGTTTCGAAAGCTCTCTTTATAAATAATGTATAAGAAAAAGCTGGAAAAGTGACTCAGTATATGAAAAAAGTATCAAGGCTTTTCATAAAGCCTATTTTAACAAGAGAGCATTTTTGCATAATATTGCAAAAAATGACTTTTGCACATATGGCTACAAGCAGTGATTCAAGGTACAAGTTATGAGGTTGTCAAGGTGGTTAGCAGGTGTAAGCATTCAGTTATCAGGGCACCTGAGTGTATCTTCCAGATTTGATATGCTTTGTTGAAACAGTTGTCCTAAAAGCTTTCTAAGACTCCAATTTAGCTTCAAAAGTTTTAATCCACCAGGAAAGTGGATCCACTTACAAAAGGAAATGTATTGGTTCCCCTGAATGAAACAGTTACCAAACGGTGTACAGTATTATCTGTAATGTTATCAAGTGAGAGATTCCTAACCACAATGTGCCTATGGAAACCAAACATGGATCTATTATTCTGACTGATCAAAATCAGCTCATGCATTTCCATACAGATATTGGATTCAGGAACTAAAAATAAACTATAAGTATTTCAACTAATGCAGAATTAACACTTTCCAGCTATATCAGTCCACATTTTCATTTAGTCCAGTATCCCATTTCAGCCAACAGCCATCCAGATACTTCTGAGTGTCCCTACAAAAAGAGTATGAAGACATCAGCCATCCAGTGCTTTGACATCCAGCAACAGGAAATCTTTACCTTTAACCATGGGACGGCCATTTAGTGCAGCTAGTATTTACCAAAAGACTATTTAATGAATTGATCTGCTTCCTTCCTAAACCTTCTAAGGCAGCGACCATCACCAAATATTGTAATAGTTAATGCCATAAGTTAAGTATTGATTACATGAAGTCTTTTTTCTATCTTGAATCTACTGCCAACTAGATCCAGTGCATGATCCAGAGCCCCAGGAGTACAATACAAAGCGAAGCCCTTGTCTCTACACCCTGTATATTTTCATAAAACTATTACATTCTCCCTAAACTTCCGTTTTTGTAAGCCAAGATCAGGAACTGTTCTCTGTTCAAATTCTTACATTCTCTTGGTGATAATGTCATGTGCTGGAAAATGTGTGTGTCTAAAGGCAAAAAAGAACCAAAAGTGAGTTGGGATACCCCTTCTCTCTCTCCTTCATGCGAACTCACTTCTAAATAAACAAGAAGGAAGTAAACAAGGAACCTAAACAAAGAAAAACTTTCTTCCTCCACATCCAGATTTTTTTCTCATTTGTGCATCTGGGAGATTAGGAGGAAGGAAAGGGAGTTACTCAGTTCAATGGAACCTACTGCTAAATGTGCATAACGCTGCATTCAAATGTTTCTATATGCAACAATGTTTGTATCAATGGATAATTTGCAGGGTTTCTGCAGTTGGCTGACCCTCTTGTGCTTTTTGTTTAAGTATTATGTAATAGCTGTCCTGAATGAGTCCCAAGCATAGTCAGGTGGCCCAGAGAGTCTTTGGGGGGGGGGGGGGGGGAGCAGGTTGTCAAAAATTCTATTGCTTACAGCACAAAATTACAAATTATTGTAAAATTGGTTTTCTCTTATTAAGAATATTAAGCTACATAAGCACTTTTCTCTCTGTTTTGCACACCACCTCTAAGCCCTGCTTTTAAAGAACCACTGAGTGATCTTTCTGTTAACAAAAAGGGAAAGCACCAAATGCATGATGAAAAGGAAGAAGACCTCAAGAACACATAGAATACTCAGTTTCAGTTTCATCTTCTCTTCCACGCCATCTTGAAATAATTTTAACTTGAAAGAGGCTCTGACTCAGGGAGATGAAATAAAAGATTATTAAATTAACGTCATTGTCATCATGTTCTGGAGAACAGACTTGGCATTCAGAAGAGATTTTATTTATGTCATTTAATTGTTTTTATATATCACCTTTTCTCCTGCAAGGAAACCAAGGTGATTTATGTAATCTTCCACTTCACTTCACAGCAGCACTATGAGGTAGGTTAAGCTGAGTGTCATTGATAGGTACTTTATGCTTTTGTTCAACAAGGTGTAAGAAATATTAAACAAAGTTCAATGCAAACAATATTAAATGCAGGATTTTACATTTTTATAAGTTTATCTATATCCATATTGTGACTAGCAAACAAGCAATCAATAATTAAGAAAATATAATATGCAAAATGGCATCCAAATGTTTTGACATTCATATTTATAGGACTGTATTTTCCAGTGAATGTAAATTTGATTTGCGTTTTCTCTTCAGCTTGGCTATGGTACCACAATTGTTTAAATTAGGCTATTCTCAGAGAGGCTGCTTTCTTTTAAAAAAACTGCTAATGAGCTGTGATGGTGAATTAATGAATACTATACAAATAATAAAAAGAAGACTAAGCCATCCCTATGTCCTATAGTTGCCAGATCAAATTATTAAAAATAGAAAACCAGAGCCTACTGTGAAACAATGTTGCTTTCAGGATCATCTAACTTCACAAGCATGTGTACCGATCATTGACACAGGAACGTTCTCTATTTCTACTGGAAACTTTCCTAGTATGAATTGAGTCATTTACATAGGAAAATATTTCGTTTGCCACAGAAAATGTTCTAATGTCACACGGCTGAGGTGAGCAACTTGTGACCTTGCCACAAGCTGCTGATTCCTGCACTACAGAGATCCAATTTAGCAGGTTCATTTTTAATGTATTTAGTATGCAAAGTTAAAAAGTACCCCATGCTACCTTTTTTCCCCTGTAAACCACTAGTATTTCACGTGAAATATTTGAGGGAGAATACTAAATTCCACTTTATTCTGAGGCATACATATAGTCTGATGACATATGAATTTTCTCACAGGTAGGTAAGGTAATAATTGTTATAGCCATCTTCTTCCCCATCTTTCCAAACAGACAAGAACAAAGGCCTGTTAAACCAAAAGGCATTATTTATGTTGAAGCTCACCAGTTAGGCTGGCTATGTCATACAAATGTAGTGTATTGAAGAGTTAATAACAAAAGACACAAGCAAGTTAGAATTCTGGCATTAGAAGTTGATTCCAAACTGAACACCTGCTCCCTTCTGCCTTCCAAACTGTGAAAAGAGCAAATCACATCTTCAAGCTGGGTCCTTCAAACACTTGGAGCATCTGACACTTCTCAACTAATCTGTCCTCTTAACTGGACGCCATACCCTTGGATGAATGATGTTAGGTCCACCCCCTGCATAGCAATTTGCTCACTAAGCTGCCTAGCTTACCTCTGGGTCCATTGCCCTTGGCATTTTCACTGTGGATCCTGGCCTCTCGTCTTTTGAATCAGAATCAGTATCCACAACCTTTGAAGGCTGTTTTATAGGAGGTGTGGGCCCAATCACTCTACTCGCTTGAACAGCATTAACTTCACCTTGGAAAGTTCCAACCATGCCCATTAATGAATCAACAATTGGCTTACATTCCCATACATAATGACAGTAGATATTCATGAACAACCCAGTATCATACTATTTGCACAGAAGGTCTCTAGAAAGGTACAACAGTGCGTCCACTCCAGTTCTACTCTTACTCCTCTGATGTCTAACTAGGTTCTAATTTTTGCCAGAGAGCTAATAACCTGAAGTGTACCATACATAACTCCAGCCTATAGGGCTGTCTCACCGTATTCTTGTCAGTGTACCAGTTACTGCCATATGCACAGTACAGTCACCACGGCTTCATAGTTTACCCTCCCATCTGTGAAGCATGTGCTACACAGTTTAGTGCAAGTCCTCAGGTAATGAATGCCTCATGCTGGAATAGCAGCTCCATATCAAGCTGCCTACAACAGCCCTCCTCTTTCCTTCTACTGGATCCCACAAATCACTGTCTGTTTTGCTATTTCACAAGTTATTAACAATAATATAATTTAAAAGATGAAAGTGTAACCCTTTATTAACTAACAGCAATCTAAGATGTCTTCAAAGCTGACAGAAATCTCTGGTACAGGCAGTTTTTGGAAACTAGGCTTGCTCTTTAAAATTGATGAACCCAGCAAGATAAAATAATTTAGCAGCCCTTGAGAAAACTGCATTGTCAAAGACCTTTTAGGCCTACATGGTGCACCAGGTGTCAGATCTGGAAGGGAGCAGAGAGCCTTCCTTTTTCACTCTCTCTGAAGCTGTCAGAGAACCAGAGGTGTTGCTAGGCACTTAAAACAACTCCCAGTCTTTCCATTGACATTAATAGAAGTGTTTTTCTAAACGTAGTTGCCATATGGGGAGGGGTGGTGGCATGAACAAAGTATACAGAAATGGCTCACCTTTCCTATCCCAACCATAAATGCGCCCATCCCCCTATGGCAGCTAATCTTAGGATAACCTCTGACTGGCACCAATGGAAAT